TCCATAGGATCGTACGCATTTTCAGTTAGCTAGTATTAAGGATTGCAAATTAAACGGAAAATTAGTGAAATAATGACTAAATAGCGACCACAGACGTCTTAAATTGATTCGACAGTTTTCGACACTGGAACCTGCCATTCAATCATATAGTTTCAGACCTCAGAGTGTGACATCCCTCACAATACTTTTCGCAGTGACTAGATTTACCCCCCTCTCATTCCTAATACTAGGGACAAGAGTTACCTCCCTCTCATTCCTTATACCAGGGACAAGAGCTACCTCCCTCTCATTCCTTATACTAGGGACAAGAGCTACCTCCCTCTCATTTCTTTTATCAGGGACTAGAGTTACCTCCCTTTCAGTCCTTATAACACACATAAGTACACACCCTTCTTATTCTCAGAAGATGAGTTTGAGCTTCATCGATGACATCTGCCATGTAAATCTTAGTTAATACAAATAGATAATCTCATGTTACAGATGAGCATGTCTTTTCTTTCTATCAATTTTTATTTTGCTCAGCCGTCTTCCAGGTTGTGGAATTTTCCAAAGACGATAATAACTTGTGTATATTTTGTACAATCTGTGTACACATACATCCAAAAGCATAAACTACGGCGACCTTAACATTTCATTATACTTTTTACCTACCTAAACATCTTAATAAGTTTATCCTTCCAGCTGTAGACATGTGACCGATAATAATGATGCTGACAACAAATCACCTGGCACAATAAAACCTGGAATCTTTTGAGAGCATACATTTGAATGTCTAGAAAAGGTTTAGTCCGTATTAGCGCTTAATCACTCTCTTTCTCTCAAAAGCTTGAAAAGCTCTACAACCTATGATATCATAAGTAATATATGATAATCAAATTTATAATACTTGGAAACAAATCTAACACTTTAATGCTACTTGACGTCATACAGACACAAGTCTTGTTTGCACTGTGACAAAAGCAAGGTCAGTTATTTCGATTGAAATATCGCGAAATTAAAGATGGCGTTGGTACATGTTCTGGTTGAACCTAAATAACATTGGCGTTGTTTTCGTTCCATGCGGTTGTCAGGGTATCGACTCTTACATGGAAAAATAAGTTTAGAAATTGGTCATGGTACATTTACCAGGTGATTCATTGGGATAAAATGAGGTAAACATTTTCACCGATAATGCGTATTCTCCATTCATTTACACGGATTGTTATCGCTTTTGTATCCGAATAGTTCATTAATGATTTTTTCGTATCATTCATATAATGTCTTTACTAAGCCGTTTAACTCATACAGGCATGCTGCCTATTGTCATATAATCTATTTTATCATGAAATTCGCGTGGGAGGCGGTATCTTTGTCACTGTAGTGAACAAATCCTAATTGATTAGAGAAAATGACAATAAATGAAATTAAAAAAAAAGAAATAAAAAATCGATGTAAATTTTTTTATCCGCCATTTCAACTTATCTAATACTTTCTGGAGTAATAACAGCCTAGGGTGTATATGGAGAGTCATGAGTGGTGGACCAGTTGTGTGTAAGGTGTCAGTAATTAATCACGATTTCATATTTAAATGGTTAACGATGAACTGAATGAAGAAAGGTATCTGAATATACACTACTTACATGTTTCGCTACTTTTATCAAATAAAAACAAAAACCAAAAATGAAATAAAAAGATTAAAAAAAAAAAAAAAGAAAAAAATCACTTTAGCACATGTTTGATTTTCATTCTTTCTGATGATATTCACCACTTTGGAATAATAATATTCGACGTCAATGTTTTGAAATCATTATGTGAAATGCTTAATTGATATATTGTAGAATTTAGTTTCTTTGCTTTCTGTGTAATGGTCAATAGTTTGAATAAAAGAGTTAGCTGATGCATAGTTACGTAGTTAATGGAGAGTCGTTTCATACCATGGCTGGTTAACAATGTACGTCTGCATAATTTTTACATATACAAGGTATTTATATCCAACATTCCTCTGACTACTCTTAAACAATAAATCTATAGTGGAACACAATCACAGCGATAAGTAAATAAAATTGAAATATTCTGTGTAAATATGAGCAAAATGAACTTTTTAAAATAATCTAAAGCTAAAAGACAACATCGACATGGTAAGATAACACATCGACATACTAAGAGAACACATCGTCATGCTAAGAGAACACATCGACATACTAAGAGAACACATCGACATACTAAGAGAATTATTGACTTGCTAAGAGAACACATCGTCATGCTAAGAGAATTATTGACTTGCTAAGAGAACACATCGTCATGCTAAGAGAACATATCGAAATGCTAAGAGAACACATCGACATGGTAAGAGAACACATCGACATACTAAGAGAACACATCGTCATGCTAAGAGAATTATTGACTTGCTAAGAGAACACATCGTCATGCTAAGAGAACATATCGAAATGCTAAGAGAACACATCGACATGGTAAGATAACACATCGACATACTAAGAGAACACATCGTCATGCTAAGAGAATTATTGACTTGCTAAGAGAACACATCGTCATGCTAAGAGAACATATCGAAATGCTAAGAGAACACATCGACATGGTAAGAGAACACATCGACATGGTAAGAGAACACATCGACATACTAAGAGAACATATCGACATGTTAAGAGAACACATCGACATGCTAAGAGAACATATCGACATACTAAGGGAACATATCGACATACTAAGAGAACATATCGACATACTAAGAGAACATATCGACATACTAAGGGAACATATCGACATACTAAGAGAACATATCGACATACTAAGAGAACATATCGACATACTAAGGGAACATATCGACATGTTAAGAGAACACATCGTCATGCTAAGAGAATTATCGACTTGCTAAGAGAACACATCGTCATGCTAAGAGAACACATCATCATGCTAAGAGAACACATCGTCATGCTAAGCAAGCATGTCGATATGTTAAGAGAATCTTGGTTCAAACTCACAATAGGTAAAAACAAGAATAACATATGTGAACAAAAGCATTATTCAGTCGGAAATCTTTGGAAAAGTACAAGGACAAGGTCACGTGTTCGGAAAATGGTAACCTGCTCTATTTCATCGGATATATACTCTGTATAAGGTTGAGTTAATCCCAGTGAGCAATATCGCTAGACCAATTACGAAATATACACACAAACTTAAAATCATCGAATACATCTAGCTCGATGGCGCATAAGGTAACAGAATATGAAATCATGGTGGTTACCGTAAAAAGTTCTGTCGTCATTGCATCTATTAATCTGCATTGCATGAAACCCTGTAAAGTGATTTTTTGGGTTTGATTTTATATTGTTTAACGTCAAAACCATACCAATGTCATTTAAGGACGGCCTCCCGTTGTTTGCACGGTGAGTAGGGGGCGATATAAACCGATACGGTACACTTTAGTGTTAACCTTATGCCAACTTTATAGTGCTGCCATACTGAATCTCACTTCATTCGGTTACATTTTACTGACAACGGGCAAACCATTATTATATTACTGAGCGTAAACCATGGACTAACGTAATAAGTCTTGACCCGGTTCATGACTCAACGTCATTCCATTAGCTGTGTTCATCAGCCGTCGTTCATTGAAGTCTTGCTATTGGAGAGCTGTTCTACAACGAGAGCGTCATATTATCTATGATTCCACTGTATATGAGACATGATGGTGGTTTATGAGGAAAGTTAATGTTGTCACCGCAGAGATTCGTATAGTGGAGATAAGCTGACTATAAACTAGTGAGATAGACACAACCGAGTAGTCAACGTTGGGAAATGGAAGTCTAAAATGGTTACAGTCAGTTCCAGGTAATCACGATTTCATTGATATCAAGGTTTGGCCTATCCTCGAAGGTCATTCCGTACAAAGATAGGATCACCAGTTACACGTTGTAGTTTATGTTTCTTATGGGTTTTGTGAATCTATCAATTGAACAATTGTTGTAATGGAAAGGTTTAACCTTTCTTCTTAAACATAACTAACCCCTAAAAGCCTCGCTTTTATATCTAGTGGGACGGATGTCCCAGATTTGATTGTTTGTGGGCGCATTAGTACTGGTAATGGCCTGTGTTACATTAACAGTCACGTTTATCTAAAAACTGTAACATAGAGCTGAGTTTTAAAATTCTATTAATTAACAGACAATATCAAGGTGTTACCTAGATAATACGAAATGACTTTCGTGTATGTATGGTTTGATATCAAAATGTCCAGGTATATATTGAAGAAATTGTTTTATATATCATTCTAATGAGTTATATGTGGTTAAATGAAATAAAAAAAAAGAATTATGTAGGCGTTGCCATAATTAGCTGTCATGATTTACAAACATTGTATATTTTATTACCGATTTGACATTTACCTATCATATATGGTTGAACATAAACGTTGACTTTTGTAATATTGATATATCATTGTTACGTTTAGTAATGGTCATATCAGAAACATATAAAATAACACGACATGATGCTGAATATAAAACAGGTAAGAAATTAGTTCTGTAAGCTATAATGAAATATAAAACAGGCAATTTGACATCAAAGATATAAACATTAGGCAGTTAACTATATCTATTTACCGATCAGATACGGTCATAACCGATTCATTTACGTTTGGAAGCAAAGTTAGGATTAACAGTTGTTATTTTGTTAGATATGGAATGATATTGTTGAACATGAAGATTAAAAAAAAAAAACTACCCGTACATCTATAAGCTCAAGCACAGCAGTGTTATCTCGTATCATACCAGTAGGTCATGGGTAAGTGAGCGGCCAATGTGCTGAAAGATCCGGGTTAATTGTGGTCATGATGTCACTCTAAACAGCGCTTAACAGTATGACATAATATACAACGAATTTAGGTCACGTCACGTCACGTCACGTCACGTCACGAGAAGACCTAAATGCATATGCCAGTGTTCACACGAGACATATCACAAACTCAACGAAACCTCTCATACTCTCTTTAGATACGGCCGGATATGTATACAACAACAGTAGTGCTCCTTCTTGTCCGTAAGTAACAGTAACAGTTTTTCATGAAATAGGTATGCAGTTTCAAAAATCATGGCGTAATTTGAGATCTTTAAACACGCAATCCCAAACAAATTTACAAATAGGCTGTTCTTACCCTGTATAGTCGACAGCAGTAGTAAAGCAGGGGGCCAGATGCACTTTCTTTGCTTATCAGTCATACAAAACATTTAAAGCTATATTTACGTAATGTTTAACATACATTGTACATGTATATGACACTTTTGACTTTGAGGGTCTTTGATTTTGTGTTCAAAGTTTATACTTTAGTCAAATATGAGATCAGTAAATATTATAGGAGCTAAAAAACCAAATGCAGAACATGATGACAAATTGTTTCCATCCACCCCGATGGATGATGTGAACACTTGTTTTGTGGGTGGTGGTCGGAGGATGGGGGTATTGTTCCCTACGTAACACTATAAAGCGAGGTGAGTTGTTCTCTGTATGTAACGGTATAAAGAGAGATTTATTGGTCTCTATTTGTTGTTCTGTATATAACACAAAATATTGAGAGGTTTTTGTTGTCTATATAACATGGTATACAGAGGGATATGTTGTTCTGTATATAGCATGGTATACAGAGGGTTATTTTGTTCTGTATATAACACAAAATATTGAGAGGTTTGTTGTTTTCTATATAACATGGTATACAGAGGGATATGTTGTTCTGTATATAGCATGGTATAAAGAGGGTTATGTTGTTCTGTATAAAACACAAAATATTGAGAGGTTTGTTGTTTTCTATATAACATGGAATACAGAGGGATATGTTGTTCTGTATATAGCATGGTATACAGAGGGTTATGTTGTTCTGTATATAGCATGGTATACAGAGGGTTATGTTGTTCTGTATATAGCATGGTATACAGAGGGTTATGTTGTTCTGTATAAAACACAAAATATTGAGAGGTTTGTTGTTTTCTATATAACATGGAATACAGAGGGATATGTTGTTCTGTATATGGCATGGTATACAGAGGGTTATGTTGTTCTGTATATAGCATGGTATACAGAGGGTTATGTTGTTCTGTATATAGCATGGTATACAGAGGGTTATGTTGTTCTGTATATAGCATGGTATACAGAGGGTTATGTTGTTCTGTATATAGCATGGTATACAGAGGGTTATGTTGTTCTGTATAAAACACAAAATATTGAGAGGTTTGTTGTTTTCTATATAACATGGAATACAGAGGGATATGTTGTTCTGTATATGGCATGGTATACAGAGGGTTATGTTGTTCTGTATATAACATGGTATACAGAGGGTTATGTTGTTCTGTATATAGCATGGTATACAGAGGGTTATGTTGTTCTGTATATGGCATGGTATACAGAGGGTTATGTTGTTCTGTATATAACATGGTATACAGAGGGATATGTTGTTCTGTATATAGCATGGTATACAGAGGGTTATGTTGTTCTGTATATAGCATGGTATACAGAGGGTTATGTTGTTCTGTATATAACACAAAATATTGAGAGGTTTGTTGTTTTCTATATAACATGGTATACAGAGGGTTATGTTGTTGTTTTCTATATAACATGGTATACAGAGGGATATGTTGTTCTGTATATGGCATGGTATACAGAGGGTTATGTTGTTCTGTATATAACACAAAATATTGAGAGGTTTGTTATTTTCTATACAACATGGTATACAGAGGGTACTGTTGTTCTGTATATAGCATGGTATACAGAGGGTACTGTTGTTCTGTATATAACACAAAATAAGTGTTGTTCTCTTAATCACATGGTATACATTGTGTAAAGAAATGTTTGCTGTAAACTATAAAACAAGGTATAATGAATCGTTTGCAATTCCCTATACAACACATTATAAAGAGGGTTTTGCTATACTTTATATTACACAGTATAAAGAGGGATTTGGTTATACTTTATATTACACAGTATAAAGAGGGATTTGGTTATACTTTATATTACACAGTATAAAGAAGGATTTGTTATACTTTATATTACACATTATAAAGAGGGATTTGTTATACTTTATATAACACATTATAAAGAGGGATTTGGTTATACTTTATATTACACATTATAAAGAGGGATTTGTTATACTTTATATTACACATTATAAAGAGGGATTTGTTATACTTTATATTACACAGTATAAAGAGGGATTTGGTTATACTTTATATTACACAGTATAAAGAGGGATTTGGTTATACTTTATATTACACAGTATAAAGAGGGATTTGGTTATACTTTATATTATACAGTATAAAGAGGGATTTGGTTATACTTTATATTACACATTATAAAGAGGGATTTTTATGCTTTATATAACACAGTATAAAGAGGGATTTGGTTATAGTTTATATTACACAGTATAAAGAGGGATTTGGTTATACTTTATATTACACAGTATAAAGAGGGATTTGGTTATAGTTTATATTACACAGTATAAAGATGGATTTGGTTATACTTTATATAACACAGTATAAAGAGGGATTTGGTTATACTTTATATTACACAGTATAAAGAAGGTTTTGCTATACTTTATATTACACAGTATAAAGAGGGATTTGGTTATAGTTTATATTACACATTATCAAGAGAGATTTATTATACTTTATATTACACATTATAAAGAGAGATTTATTATACTTTATATTACACATTATAAAGAGGGATTTTTATGCTTTATATTACACATAATAAAGAGGGATTTGTTATACTTTATATTACACATTATAAAGAGAGATTTGTTATACTTTATATAACACAGTATAAAGAGAGATTTATTATACTTTATATTACACATTATAAAGAGAGATTTGTTATACTTTATATAACACAGTATAAAGAGAGATTTATTATACTTTATATTACACATTATAAAGAGGGATTTTTATGCTTTATATTACACATAATAAAGAGGGATTTGTTATACTTTATATTACACATTATAAAGAGAGATTTGTTATACTTTATATAACACAGTATAAAGAGAGATTTATTATACTTTATATTACACATTATAAAGAGAGATTTGTTATACTTTATATAACACAGTATAAAGAGAGATTTATTATACTTTATATTACACATTATAAAGAGGGATTTTTATGCTTTATATTACACAGTATAAAGAGGGATTTGTTATACTTTATATTACACATTATAAAGAGAGATTTGTTATACTTTATATAACACAGTATAAAGAGGGATTTGGTTATACTTTATACAACACAGTATTATGAAGGATTTGTTGTCGCTATATAACACTATATAATGTTGATTTTAGTTGTGACTTCTGTGGTTGGGGACGGATGTGCTGACAAGGACGCTACAGCATGCAGAACTCTAAAAGGAACGATCAAAGACATGTGCTCGGAACCATGTATAGCTGACCTCTGCAGGGAGACGTGTGGACTTTGTCGTAAGTAAGACATAGGACGCTTTCTTATCCTACTGCTTAGAATTTAATGAATATAACACGAAATATATATATGATATCACATCTGTTTCCTTTCACATGTGATTATATACAACTCCTCCTAGAACTTTTTATTCTTGCGAGATTTATCACATATATCAGAAAAAAACCAGTTTGACAGGTTATAATGTAAAAATGTGCCGGACAAAATCAAACAGAGGCAGTCATTTTGTGACGTCATTCTCTGTCATTACTTCTTGTGTACTCAGGTTATCTATTCTCGTATTACGCACCCACCCATGCAATACAGACGACAGCATGTAATGATTTTGTCGGTGTAAGGGACATAACTCGAGTTGACGTCTGTGTCGTTTAGACCAGAAATTTCTGGCTCTAAGACGATTGCTTTAAAGACACCACGGATGTGTCATAAAAGTGGTAGAAAAGGCATCCACTATTGATGCGGTGAATTAAACAGTTATTGTCGTAACGTACCAAGAAATATTGGGTTCATATCAAAGCAAAACAAGTTTGTTCGCCTCACTAACATTTTAGACCTTATCGTTATCTCTTTCGCTACGATTTAGAAATTCGGTTGTGCAGACCGGCAAAACCTTTATGAACGCGTCCGTTGTGTCTCTAAAATAATCAAAGTCATTAAAAACGTAGATATCAATAACAACATAATACAATATTGACAAAAAATTTTCATTTCATAGACAAAATATCGGTCTAGTATCTGATCAGGGAATTTCAAAATGATGAACGACCTGTTTTAGAAAATGGATGTACAGAAGTTTATAGAGAGGAAAAGAAAACAACTGCACACTGATAAAAACGCTAAGCAACAAAAAACTTCTATGTGAATTTCAGAGCAGTAAATATGACGAACGGCAACCGATCTGTGCTATTTAACAAACATATAGCCACTGTGCGCCAAAGGCTAACAAGATGACAGGGATGGTTGGGAAATCTTTCGGCTTCATGAACAAAAATACGTTTCTCTTAATCTGAAATGCTCAAATAAGACCAAAGTGGAACACACCAACTCGAGTAGGAACCCATGATAAAAATGAAATAGCAATTGGAAATAATCCATGGTGAGCTACTAAATGATTAAAAATATAAGACATCTTTCATGTAACGGAAGGCTTCCATCTGTCCAATATAAAAGAGACAGAAATGACATGGGGCAAACTTTTAGGAGTTTTAGGAAAATAGACCAAGTAGATAAACACTTATGTTTGAATCAGGTGAAGAGGTCCCTTCTAGATATTGCTGAAGAGAAGAAGCAGATTTAATTGCAGGACAAACTGCTTGTCAAACAGAAAAACCAGGGAGGCAGGAGATTCGGGGTCCGACTTGTTCATGAGAAAGACGGGGAATCCCAAGAGGGCAAAACATTTACTAAATCAGAGCGAAAACATTCTCAATCCCGGATCAATATATCTGAACAATTATGATAATTCCGATCACTAACATCATATCATTGATTGGGAATATTCCAAAATAGTCGACAGGGAAAACAACCTTTTCATTTGAATGGTGAAGGAAGCCATCTTGATACACCGCAGCGGGCCAGAACTAAACAGGAAGGGACGAGAAGAGGCACAGACTCTCTTACATCTATGACCAAGTGTTAAACAAAAAGTAGCTGAATAGACTATAGCACGTGTCACCACCTACTGTATTGTTTGGTCTACAATCTGTTTACCATCTCGGCACACTATTTATTACCTTGATGCATATAAGATTATAGTACAACTGAAAAAAGTTTGTCGATTCATTACTATCTCGGACGCTTGTCAGTGCTATTACTGACGATTCCCAGTGTACTAGCACTGACAAGCGTCGACAAACTTTTTTCGGCTGTATTATAATCCTATGTACATTAAAATCACCCAACACTCCAGCCGAAAAAAACCCGTCCTTCATTGACGTAGACAGTGACACGACCTACAGTACTGAATAAAATACATGCATCAATGGAATATCCGATTTCTAGTCACGATGGCGTTCCTTCTGCAGATCATCCAGTTAACGTTACACATGTAATTCAGCAATATTAGCATTTGGCCATAGGATCGTTTATCCAAAACTGTTCCATGAATTTCGTTCATAAAAAGAGACATTCCACATACTGATGTGACGTGTTTTCTTCCAAGTCGACGTCATCGCTTGAAACAATGTTCACACACAAAGTTATAGCACTGACGAATCATAGTTTGTTTTAATTTCCTGGAACAAACTTCGTTCGACAGGTACAGAGAGATTGCCAAATGTCTATGTTGTTTATCGATTAATTACATGATAAAATATAGGACTTTCTAGTAATATTACGTCTTCAGTGGTTCATTGTCGAACTGTTTTAATATCTAAGAATTAGAAATGAGAGAAAAATACTCTTTCATGTGTGTGGGTAAAGGATGGAACTTCACCGAAGCAAATTTTCGATTTTACCACATTTTGTTACCGTTCAGGTAGAATATCCTTATCGCAAACCTTTAAACTTGAAAAAAATATTATAATCTAAATCATGCCAAACTATACATTATTTGTGACGTATGCAAAAAAACTCGTATCGGCAAATTTAATGTATACCAAGCCGATAATGTGATGGATCTACATAATTACGTCTTATCGTATGTAGACAATGAATATATACACGATTTCTCTCTTCTTTCTGCAGCACTAAACTGTTACTCTTGTAAAGATGAACTTTATCCAGAGGAATGTAACAGTACTATTCAATGTCAAAGTGTTCATCAGGTAAAAATCATTTGTTTGGTGTATGCATGATGTTAACATACTACAGTGATATAATGTATGATGAATGTTGTTTAGATAAACTGGTAGGAACACGGAAGCATTCGTTATCGTTTTTATTCAAATTTATTCCATATATGCATATTTCCTCGAAAAAATATAAATATACGCGTACATATGATGAATAACACAAGTTATGGTTCGAAGAGGTTTAAATAGGCGCAATTTGGAAGAATTTCAATTCTACTAAATATCATAACAGTTCGATCAAATCATGATTGGTGAAAGTAATGTTATATCACGTTTTATGTAAAATGTATAGAAGCATCGACAATTGAAGTGTGATTTCCAGGTCTTGTATTTAATAACGTGTCATTGAAATTGTTCATACTTTCTATGATGTACTTTGTCTGCTTTCGATTATTTCAGTATTGTATTGCTGTTCAAGAACTTAACGACGATTTCATACCATTATTTCAATCTGGGTGTGCAGATGTTTCTGTGAGTATAAATATCTTGTAAATATATTTGATATGGTGTCAGGTTTTTGCTGAGCCATTAACGTACGGAATATCGAAGTACATGCAGGAATAGATTAGCGGATGTAACTGGTCTCGATTTCAAACAGTACGAAATCATGACGATCGGCTTTGCGCAAATAAATCGACACAAACCTGTACGAAGAGAAGACTGAACGTTATAAAGCACGAAATACGTTTAGTTTACAGTAGCTGGCGTCACTTGTTTAACATTTCATTGTAATGTCATATTACAATGTTCAAGTTCAATGTCACCTCTAGATACATCATAACATCTGGTCATTCACTTGAAATAATTATATATCTGTTACGATTTAAGCCTTATTTCTGTTGTTTGATTTACTATTCTCATTACAGAGATGTTTGAACATATTTGGCGAAATCAACACGAAGAGGTCAATTCAAGACAGGTCATACACTTTAAAAGGAGGCTGTTGTGACCATGACAACTGTAACTACCATGATCCTGCCCTTAGACCGATAGATCCCTCCCCAGTGTCGACAGTCCGCCCTGTTTGTAAGTCAGTTTCAAAAGTCTACAAAATGCCAATTCGTGTGCAAGTAAAAGTAATTAAGATCCCCCATGCTTTGAATCGTAAGATTCACTCACAATGAACATGCAGTCCGATTAATAATGATAATACAATTCACGGCATTTATGGATGATATTTTATCGACAAATAAAAATTGTTATAGTTGACCAATTATAGTTTAGCTAGTTAAGCCTATACTACCCAACACAGATATATATATCACTATCTTACTTCTGGTCCAGGCCTGTTTTCCAACTAAATAACGATCGTCCTTATTTACTATTTTTATAGCCTAGTAAGCGTCCCGGATCATTTTTCGGCGATGTCTTCTTTAGTAGGTTGTAGTTACCTCAGTGAACAACATAGATAATTCTTTACATCATAACAGCTTTATATATATGTATCATGCAGATCCTAGCTCGTTTGATTCGAACGTGTGTAGTGAACAGGATGTAGACACGGCCTTCTGTGCTGCTTTAATGCAGGCTGACTCAAACATCTGTAACTCAACCTGTGTGGCAAACAAACTCTGCTCAGCATCATGTCAAACATGCAGTACGTACTTGGAACGTGATAATATTGTAAAAAAAAGGTGAAACAAGACAAAACATCCAGTCGATTTCTGAAAGTAGGAGTATAATTTTGATGTGATTTACAGGTATACCTTTGCTTGTGTTGTACTTTTTTCTCCTCATGAACGTGAATACATTACACAGGTGTGTAGTTAAGGAGTGTATGTAATTATTTTCTAGGAAAGTGCTATAGCTGTCCAGGTGTAAATGATAAAATGAGCTGTTTGACAAGTGAAACATGCAAAAGAGATCAGGTATTCCGTTAATCAGATTGCATTCGGTTATCGTTTGCCTATGACGTCTTGTTTGTAGAATAAAATTGTGTAATATTCTGTAAGATTCTATACATAAGTATGAGTATACTATTAGTAACCTGCGAACAATAATGTATATCCATTAACTGGACTTCTAAAGGGTGTCTTCTCGGAGCCCTGAAATAAATTTGCCTGTGTAACATTATGACAATGATAAATACGCTATATCTATGAATCCTTCAGTAAAACTTGAATCAACTTTAAATTAATGTGAACGTGTCACATGTCGTTTTTTACAGCAATGCGTGACAGTAGAAACACTCGGTTCTAATTTCGAACTTCAATACAGATTTGGGTGTATGAACACAACGGTATGTATATTGGTCTTATGATAAAGTCGTGTATATACATATAATTTTCCATGGTGCTTTGCAAATAAACACTGTACTTACTAAAATTGAAATTAGTTAAAAGATTTAATAATAATAATATCAAAAAGTTAATTTTTTGAAATATTGTAGTTTATGATTATTTCATTTTGTTGTTATTTCGTCCAAGAGACAAAATTAGACTCAATTAGCAAGATAAACTGATACCGGTAGATTCATTGTAAAATCGCCAGCTTGTTCCACAGACGTGAAATAAATATCATCTCCACGATGGACTAGAGGAGGAAGTAGAGGCCTTATGTAAACATTGTAAACCATAAGTTGCACGTGATATCCTTCACGCAATGGCAGAGAGTATGCAAGTGACAAAAAATGATATCAGAACTGACGACATTTTACTCACTATTGACACCAACGTATCGAAGGCACATGCCATGTTTTCGTGTTACTGTGACGGCATTTAATTGGCTTTGTCAGGTTATTTTCTTAGATAATGGATGGGGGAATTTCCCATGAATTTTCTTTCAGCAATGTAATAAACTTTTCGGAACCTCGGTTTCTGCACCCGTTGTCGGCAGGAGGAAACGACAAATTCAAGGAAGTTGCTGCAATAGCGATTATTGCCAACATGGTAAGTTCACCTTTTACTCCTATAAGTAATATTGTAACTCTTATTGTAATAACAACGCTTATTGTAATAACAATGCTTATTGTAATAACAACGCTTATTGTAATAACAACGCTTATTGTAATAAGGAATTCGTTCAGCGTTGTGACTGATACGCTTAAGGTAATGATTTTGTTATTTATTACAATAAGAGTTGCTGTCACAATGCTTAATGTAATAATTATTACATTTAGTCGTTATTACTTTAAGAGGTCGCAATAATTTATTGTGTCGCCTGCAGAGCTGGCGGACATTTAGGAACGCGTCGTCGTCCGTACGTAAGTTTTCCGGATTTTTTTTCGTTAATGCGTTGAGTTATCGAAATGAATTTTGGTATATGACTTTTTGTTGCAAGGGTACAGATTAAATTCGATTCCCGGCTGTCTGTGACTCTTTTTGGCAGAGTTATGCCCCTTTCCACTTGGAAAATTTCTCAGGAATATTGCTTTGCGCAGTTTTCCCTTTATGCTTCAAGTTATAGAAATGAAATTTGGTATTACAACTTTATGGTTGATCGTTGCACATCCAGTTCAATTTCTGGGTGACCGTGACACTTTATGCAGGCGACACATACAGTTCCGAGGAACTCTTGTATTCTTTTAGTCTTCGTGACTGTATTAACACTCTGGATTTTAGAATAGTTTGTTTCTGCAGTATCCAGGTGTCAGTCAACATAAAGAGATGAATAGCGTCATTTGAGAATGTTATATGTATATACAATATTTAACAGTACATTTCCTACAGTCTTACGCAAATCTGTAATCAGACAGTGTACAGATAACTGATGAATAACAGTGCATAATACCGTTATTTAAACGCTGAACCCAGGTATATCCTAAATTTGGATATCCAACACCTCACGGAAGAATTTCAGCATACCGAATATCTCTGTGATGGTATATTGCTCATGTGTGCGTATTTCAGCTCCAGTTTCGACGACAACTCTACCCACTACCACACCGCAGCCTACGTCACCAACACCATCCACTGCAGTAGGTGTCATCTCTACACAACCGACTGCTGTTACCGGGATGAATGTCACCACAGGTATAGTGTACAGTATCTCCCAACTACCTTACAATTAAAAGGGGGAGATATGTTTTTCTTTTTATCTGTTCATTACCCCGTCTTTTGCCTTCAACAAATACATCTGTAAGATTTCTTTCGACTTGAACGAACCTTATATGATGCCAGATTTTACGAATAATTGTTATCAAAACATTACCTCGGATGGTTGTCCTTTTATAAAACAAAATATAACCTCAAAATAATTGTTGTAATTTTACAGCTGGTACCCCAACGGCTACAAAGTATCCATGTAAAGATTACGACAACTCTGGTTACTGTGTTAGATACGTGCCCCTGATTTGCAGCACGCCAGATCCTTTGTCTAAAAAATTTGCCATAGCCAATTGTGCATTAAGCTGCGGCCTTTGTGCCGAATTCTATGGTAAGTAATTCATACATCCAGATAACATATATCTAAGATCTACAAAAAGTATAATCTGTTCATACCGAATACAAACTTAATTGCTTGTTTTTTTTTGTTTTTTTTTTTTATAAAAATGTTAACCATCTAAACGTATTTTTCTCTCTTTCTATTTTAACAGCTATGGTTGCGTCCGGGGAAATTGTCGTAAATGCATAGGTAAGTTTCTCCGTCATTATCTGTCTCAAAGCAAAAGAGTTTTATATAAGATTTGATAGCAAAATACAAAGAATATTCAAACGGATCCGGGCTTACAAAGCTAGACACCATTTTAATACGTAAAATTATATACATTTTCTATAAATTACAAATACTGTGTTAAACTAAATACTACTTCTTACTTTTACGTGCCATTAATTGTCGAAAGCATATGTTAGCAACTGATAATGTCATTTTTTGTTTCAGAACGAATTTTCACGATTTCATCATCAATTTGAATACTTGTCTTTGTTAAATTAATAAAATGTAAAAAATTACAAACAGATGACGAGTTTTATTTCAATGCCTTTCATCGCATGTTTCGAGGAAAGTCTTCTTTAGATGGCATTTATCGACCGTTTTTATTACATACCGAATATATATACATATACATATATAACACTAACAACAATAAATCCTTTTTATAACAATGCTAATGAAAAATTCGAATTTATCAGTAATGATAATACAGTTTTTCCAGTGATTATACAACTTTTATAGTTCTAACAGACATCTAACACCAAGAATCATTCTTCCTCTTATAACTAACATGATGTTTTATAAAAGAAACATGATAAAAAGTCCTTCGAACAAACTGAAAACAATTTGATGAATGGTTATACAGTAAATAAATCCAAGTAATTCGACAAACTTTTAATTAAGATAATGAAGATAATTTATGCTAATTCTGATTTAACACTAACAACAATAAAAATAACAACGTGTCAACAATCCAAACTCAAAATCAATAAAGCGAAGTTAATACAAATATGTAGTGTCCTTAGTGAGAAATGGTAAGCAACAGAAACATATACTAAGCTCTCATAAGGTAATATAATATTTCTAGATGTCATTGAGATAACTATGACGGAACTCTGTGTAGTGAAATTTTATCATTTGCTGACATATTGTACGAATGTCATGATATTGAGAACAACTCTCTAGTTATCGACTCGTAAACACCATAACGTAGGGATGCATGGATGTTATTCTCCAAAAATGGACAATTATAAATAGGAAAATAACCAAACCATGCCTATCGTAAATCATTGCAAAGCGTTCCTTGAAGGAAAATATCAGAGTAAACGGCTGATGTAGAATATGTCAACTGCGTTTTTTTATGATGATAGATAATACCATATCACAGAATCTGTATATTATTTAAAAATACTTTACAACGAGATCACCCGGGATGTAGAAACGGGAACATTGCATTTCCTAACATATAACGTAATTATTAACATAATTATTATCCAAACTCAAATTCAATAAAACTGAGGCAAAATGTAAACAAAAGAAGGATCTATATGGATACCAAAAGCACGAGGAGAAGAAGACCAGGAATTACAGAAGAGTAAGCGTATTCTGCATTATCGACGGAACCTACCGTTTATATATTGGTCAACCCAAGTAAGTTATGTCACGTTCCGAGATGAGTACAAAGAAGAAGGATTGAACCATCAAATATGTCGAGCTGCATGTATTTTCCAATGAGATCATTATGATGACCATGAAACTTCCATAATAAATATGTATCCACTTGCACATCAAGAAATATCAATCCCTGCGATTTCATTTCATACCTGTTTCATCTTCTTAAGATATATTCATAGGATACCATATAAGTAACTTGAGGGAATGGGAATATGGTATGTGAGGAGGGGGGGGGGGGGGGGGGAGGGGGGGGAGGGGGGGGGGGTCAGCAGAAATCGTTTATTTCCGTTGTCGCTTGATTGCCGGATCTGAATTTCTTAGGACCCGGACTTGCGTCTAATAACTCCGAGTTTGATAACTTAAGTGTTTTAAAGTATGTTGTACAGTATGTGTATATTCAAACCTTTATAAATGGCTGTAGTTACCGTAATAATGGCCTGCTATCATCTCGCTGAAAAGTGGCACAGATTTTAACTGTGGCTTAAGTATGGATGGAACTTCATACCCAGGTTTGCATGATACTCAAGAACAACATATTCTGTGGCAGTCTGTGTAACGTTGTCTAATTTAAGTGAAACGTCCATGATGAAGAATATCATTTGGTAAAATGGTGAATTAAACTATATGAGCAATGAATTTTGAAATACGCTTAAATAACAGGCGCAATAGCATTTATTTAACTGTGAGAAAAAGAACGGTAATAGTGAAATCATTTTAATTTATTGTAGGAGCAATATGTTTATGTCTGTGTATCTTTATCTGATGACATTGTCATCCAACTCATTTTAAAATGTTACAAGTATAATTGACACGTTTGACAATTTAATAAAACGGTTCCATAGCTTTTGTGAATCACCGCCGTGAGAAAAATGTATATTGTGTAACAAATTAACAATTAAAAGTGGTAGTTTTGCTTCGATAAAATTTATTTTATTCATTTTTTTAAAATTTAAATCAATTTTAAACAAGATTCTGTCAACTTTTACCGATCACTCTTGTTTGACAAATTGATGCCACCAGGAGGGCAAAAAAGTCACTCCAGCGAAAACATCTATTGTCGTGCAAGCCACACAGTTCTTTTCAGATCTGATAGAGCAACACTATTGCCTTGGTTGGGGATGAATACATTAATGCTGCGCCGACCGATCAGCTTGCATCAGGTGACGAGTTCATTATCTAGATTAACAATAGCTTACGATAAAAATATATTTGTCACAGTCGAATAATACGGTACATTTTCTTTCTTTATTGATTAAGAAACTAACATGTCAATATTTCAAAAGTTATCTAAAGTTATACATGTATCTTTGCATGGGGTAGTACACTTTCTGCTATACATATATACTCAAGGGATAAAGAAACGCAGGGTGACATTATTTGCAATATCTTGCGAACACGTTTTTCAATAACAATGAAAATCGGTAAAGCAACTTTCTAGGTTAAAGTGCACTTTGTCCTGTATCGAATGTTTCAATATTGTATTGCGTGACGTTGTCTTCCAGGGAAAGCACGAAACGGGAAAATCTCGTGCGCATCAGTGTTGTGACATAGAGTTACACTGCTCGTCATTCCATTAGGTAGTCTTCATAGCGTCACATCATTTTCCGATATTTTAATTAATTTCTGATAGCATTGAACAAAGGCACGGCTGACGGAAGTTTAGAGGGGTTATGTCATTGCGATGATTATGCATAGAGTGTCTTCTTGGACATCTAATGGAAAATGGGCGGGCTGCTGTCATATTTAAGTCTGAGCGTCCGCGCATGACGTCACAACGCCAGAACAGGTTTTATCGGCACCTTGCTGCCACTGAATCTGTCCTTCATACCATAGGTACTCATAACCGTTCTATCCATGCAAAAAATGTAAGGAAACAATTGTAGGTCTTTTGTAGGCCTGCCCGTTACCGCTGTTCGTCGCCAGCGTCGTATGGCTTGGGTGGCAGCACATGCCCCCAGAATATTCCCATTGAGGTAGTGGAAGCGGGTTTTCTTTACTGACGAGTCCCGTTTCACCCTGTTTCGATCAGACGGTCAACGTCGTGTATACCGACGTCGTGGAGAACGTTTTGACTAGCCAGCTCCCACAATCAGTCTGTTTCGATCAGACGGTCAACGTCGTGTATACCGACGTCGTGGAGAACGTTTTGACTAGCCAGCTCCCACAATCAGTCTGTTTCGATCAGACGGTCAACGTCGTGTATACCGACGTCGTGGAGAACGTTTTGACTAGCCAGCTCCCACAATCAGTCTGTTTCGATCAGACGGTCAACGTCGTGTATACCGACGTCGTGGAGAACGTTTTGACTAGCCAGCTCCCACAATCAGTCTGTTTCGATCAGACGGTCAACGTCGTGTATTACCGACGTCGTGGAGAACGTTTTGACTAGCCAGCTCCCATAATCAGTCTGTTTCGATCAGACGGTCAACGTCGTGTATACCGACGTCGTGGAGAACGTTTTGACTAGCCAGCTCCCACAATCAGTCTGTTTCGATCAGACGGTCAACGTCGTGTATACCGACGTCGTGGAGAACGTTTTGACTAGCCAGCTCCCACAATCAGTCTGTTTCGATCAGACGGTCAACGTCGTGTATACCGACGTCGTGGAGAACGTTTTGACTAGCCAGCTCCCACAATCAGTCTGTTTCGATTTCAGATTAGAGAGTACTCTTTCAATTTCCTTCAATTACTCCTAAATCACTTACCAGATACAAATCGTTAATTTTGCACTTTGTTCTGCATGGATTAATTTTCATTCTTACTTAGTAATATTGAACATTACACTCGACGTCTTGCCTAGAACCATTTTCAAAGTTTGTCCTGCGTTTCTTTATCCCTTGAGTATTTCTATATACATTGACATGTGATTTTCACTGACTTAAATTCTGAATGTCTAATGGAGAGTCATTGAAGGGCCTAAGAGTTGCTTACAATATTTTATTAATTGGCAAATTCTTTTTCTCTAACTTTTCTCGTTTAAGTAGCTATTGGCATACACTGGTTTTGCATGCGACCCGCGCCTGGATCAGTATTAAAACGATATCTGGGCCCGTATTCACGAAGCCATCCTCATGCTCAAGCATAGGTTTTCTTCTCAAGCAAACTTTTTTATAATTCATCTTAATCATATAAAATAATACAAGTGTCAAATATGAACCTTGAATATAGCTTTGACTTGAAGTCCTTTCAATATTTGTTTTAAATCTTTGGCAAAATCAGCCTTATTTATTGATTTGTAACTTAAACAAGTCATAAGGCTTGATTGAGCACAAAAATTCATTGATTGTCGTTTTTTACTCTTTTGTCGTGGAAACAAAATTAAAAAAAATTATTGTATAGAAGCTTTTTTTCTGAGCAGCAACTTAAAAACCATTAAATAAATATGCACGAAATTCTTTTTTAGATTATGGTGAACTACTTTTGTCTTTACTATTGGTCATATTTTCCATTCCTGGAATCAATGTCAGAAGGACACAGTTCACTATTAGATTAGATAAGTGCTACACGAAAAATAGAAATTATCTCGTTAATACAGACACTGTTCAGCTGATTTATGTACGTGTATAAAATATCAACAACGAGAATCTGTTTAAGTATATATATACATCTGTTTGATTTTTAATGAAAAGAAACATGTTGTGACTATTTATTCAAACAAGGATTATGAACAAAAAGGAAACCAAAATATTGATATTCTTGAAAAAATACAAAAAAAATTCAGATCACATCTGGCAGGCTAAACCAGCACAAACGTTAAACAAATCGTATTTCAAATATAAAACGGACGTGACGAAGACAAAACATTAGTAAACGAAAGCATACAAAGATATTCTCGAAAAAATAGCAGTAAAATAAAACCAACCGTTCTCGAAGAGTACGCGTCTTCTCCTTCATCGGTAACACGCCATAAAAAATCTTAACCAACAAAGTTGATGTAAGTAAAATTGCGTTCAACTATGGATTACTAGACAACTGAAGAGTGCCAAACACGTCTAACTTAATATCGCACAAGGAAAGAGCATGTTTCGAAATCAAAACTTCCCCGTTATTTCTTCGTTATTTTAGAATGTATACTTTCGAACTGACATTATATGTGAAAAATCCTTTATAGGTAAATTGTCCATAAACTAAGAAATACTTGTTTTTACTTGACATATAAATGGATAGACCGTGACAAATTTACACCTGTTTCTTATCTCCTCTCATCGGACAGACTGCTGTGACGAAGTACAGCTTGTTATTAAACACCCTCACGAAATATAGATCATTCGTGACTTAACCGTTTCTAATTTGTTTTGTCAGTATTCAGAGATTATTGTTTCATATACCGAAATAACACAGTAAGATAATCATATTTCTAAATCTCCAATCAGAACTTTAATATTTTTTTTGTTTTCACGAACACATGTTTTTTAAACCTCATATCAAATTCGTTTACACTGAAGTGAGAATGTTTACACCAATATTTACGTTGTTCTAGCAGAACAATTGTGAGAATAATGTTCAATTGATAAGCGAGTAAGCTTTCCCAAGATAACCTAGTGACATGACCCTATCGTCACTACATCGAAACCTACCACAAGCCTTTCTGATAACAAACATAAGAGCACATCTGTTGAGGACCACACTATAACAGGGATATGATAATACTACTTTCAGGTATTTTTTGTCCATACAATATAACACATATTTAAACGTTAACTGAGGTAACGACCTAGAAAACATGCTTCCTTTGACCAAGACAATATTACATGGTTGTCCTATTTGAAGTACAGCAATTTTTTGTTATCAAAATAAGGAAGCTCTGTGTGGAGTATGAGCGAAGCTATGGAATCATTTAGTGATTTTTGGAGAGAAAAAACAAACGGAGCACTAGGCTGTACTCTTCCTGCAAATAACCAACAAAGTCTACATAAGAACCTCTTTTTATGTATAGATATATGCATAATCAGCCCGTTGTTCACCTATTCGTATGGGACCTTTACATTGCAGTTACATTTGCATTGGTTGTGTCATGCAAGGCACAGCTGTGTGAAGATGTAGATTCCGCTCTCTGCAAAGATATATTCTCCCTTAATCCTAGGCTGTGCTCGACTGATTGTTTCTCTTCATCTATCTGCCCCCGCACCTGTGGAAAATGTCGTAAGTATAACAGCACCACAATGTTAATATCGATAAATTCCTTACTGATCACCAATGTCCTTCATAATCTGAAAACATATTCATATATCACAATGATTACACTGTATACATAGCACAACGTAAATGCGTTAAAGACGAAATCATGTCCATACAAACACAATGCATGAAAATGCATACAGCACATGAATAGTACATGAATACACATTCATTTTACGTTATTATAGAGAAATGCTAATTTATTTCATATGTTGCAGCATTGAAGTGTTACGACTGTCACGAAGTGACCGACCCAAACCAATGTAACAAAACATCACAATGTCCATCTCCTGATCATGTGAGTTGATAAGTTCTTCCTTCATTGCGAGACAAAAAAAAAATCAGCTGAATTTTAAGTGCATCCTTTGAACTGGATAAACGCAGCTGCAACATGTAAAATCACGGAGTAATGAAGGAAGATTGTTTTTTTCTGTCATGAAATGAAGATCTCTGAAAACAACAAATGTAAGCTGGTTATGTAGTGTCTTTGGTTTCATGTCCATGATGGTATGGTTTATTTCGGAATAATTAACTGCATAGATCTCACATTACTTGCTAAACAGCGTACGATAAAATCATGTCGGTGTTGAAAATATAAATGTTGACAATTAATTTTAAAAAAGTAAGTTTCAAGCATTTGATTTACAAAGTCTTTACTATTTACAAGTAAGGATAACCTTTCTGAGGATTTAGACCATGTTTGTTCCATTAATCTAGTATAAGAGACGACTTACATAGGAAAATTGTCTATACACTCTAACTGAACCAGATAACATTTTTTTCACAAAATATGAATTAATTCTAGAGCATTTTAATCATATTAATGTCGAGAGTCAAAAAAGGTGGAGTGTTTCAGGGGAGAACATAATTGAAATAAAAAGAAAAGGAAAATGTCATCAACAGACTGTATATACATAACCTTTGCTTTAATGTAAATTAGATAAAACCTTATTTCAGATAGCAATTAGTATTCTTCCCTATATAAATAGTATTTAGCTGTATACGGCAGTTACGGGAAACAACTGTAAATTACCAAACGCATTGATACTGTAATTTGCTGATTGACGTCCATACTGTATTTAAAAACATAAATAATTGTTTCAATAAGCGATTTTATTGATTGAAATATGCAAGTTTTTTTCGCGAACATTAATCAGATTCCTATCCAAATTTCAGCTTGTATTTTAAGACATTGGTCATGCATTACATTTCTATTTAGATACAAAATAAGTTATATTGGTCGGAAGAGGCTTTTAAGGACACATCGAAGTCTTTTTTTATTTATCATATTCTGTCCAATCTATTCAGCGAAAGAAATAAAAACATATTAGACGTGATTTACATGTAAAAGCTGATAAAAATATCATGTTTGATAATAGTCAGTGGAAGTGAAAAGCTAATACCGACTCATGTTTGCATTAGGCATACCAAAATGTATGAATTGCTTTGAAATATAACATGCATTAAACTTACAATTTTCTTTTCTTTCAAAGTTTTGTATAACGGCAGAGTCATTTAATGATGACTTCAAGGTTACCTACAAACTAGGATGTGCCTTAAATTCCGTAAGTGTACATCATACCATTAGCATTGATCAACGAACATAAATTACATTTCAAAATATTGTGATAGTGAAATACATGAGCAAGCGTATTATCAATCGTTACCATTTTTATATCCATGTACATAACTGGTATGGTGTTTTATCAAACTTAAAGCCCTATAACATGTAACACATCTTCCAATACTTTCCAATACTTATTCTCTCATTATAATTTCTGGTATTAATGTATGATTACCTTAAAATAAAATATCATCCCAATCCTTGTGTGCATGCGAATACGAGGATGAAATAACCCGTGAATAATATTTTCCGAGGACGGAGGCAGAAGCAAACGCATGTATCCCTTTCGAAGGCCAATAAGACCTCGTTTTCGCCTGAAAAAGATCAATAATATTTTATCATCTAACGACAATCCTGATTGGTCAAAATTGCAGCATAGGTTACTGGATTGCTATTTTCACCCGTGAGTCCAACATATTAACATAATCACCTATAACTAAAACAATAACATTTTTTAACATGTTAAAAGTATAGATATTGTAATACGTCAACAGATATGTGCACAACACATTGTACCAACATTGAAGCGCAGAGACAATGCCCAGTTAGAGCAGATCCAGCTGAAGGGAACTTGTTGCGCAAACGATCTATGTAACATTGAAACATGGCATGTATTGACAAGGCCACCACCGTCTCTAACGAGTCCGAATACAAGCCAGCCAACATCATCTGTCTCCAAACCGTCGACGTCATCACTAACGTCAATTCAAAACATAACATCAGGTCAATGCGATGACATCAATGCTAATATATGCTCCCGTCTTCAAACACTTATACCTGATATGTGTTCCAACGACTGCATTGCTAACGAAGTTTGTCCAAGAAGATGTGGGAAATGCAGTACGTAAGTTTGATGTTTAATGTCATTTTATTACAAAAGCAACTGATAAAGATATTACTAATCTTTATCAGCTTTCTAATTGTTGTTGTCAAATAACTTTAACTTATCAAAGGCAAGGACACTAATGTACGTCTCGTTAAAACAGGAAATAAATCTGTTTGTTGAAAAAGATAATTTGGTAGATTAATTTTATCACCATGTTTATGAAAATAATTTTTTGTAAATCCATTTTAACGCGAAACCAAATAAGATATATACAGCTACCAAAGCATAGCTTTAAGAGAAATTAACTATGCTATAACTCTAACTATTTCTTTGCCATATACATGTAGTTAGATGTTACGAATGCAGCCACGTGCCCAGTTCAGATAGATGTTCAAAAACAACTGTCTGTGGTAGAGGAGAGGTAATAATTTAGCTTAATTCAGTTGATATCATATTCTGTTTTACATATACGTTTTACATACAGGCAACATTTAAGATAAAATGTACAAAGTACTTCGTATAGGAAGGATGCGGTATAAATTTTCATTACGTAATATATATCAATATTAATTTACTAACATGCGTATGACATGCCTGTCTGTCTACATAGACAGCAAAATAAATTTAAATTACTCGTTTATTTAAGCATTGGCGCTTTCATTTCTTAATCTTCATGATGCTTCACTTAAATTGCCACCATACCTCGTTACTCGGCAGTTGTCTGTGACGGCATAACAAAGGCGATAACAATATATATGACGTCATGATTAAATTGAATATACAGAGAATACATGGTCAGTGTCTTAAAATATAGGCTATATTTTGCTGAGGGTGAAGAAAGGTGAACCAACTTTGTCATTCCGTCCCTAGCTAAAATACATCTTATATTATCAGACACTGACTTTGTATTCTATTTATCCTGCAACATTGATGGAAAATCAGAAAATTGCAACTTAAGCAGTTTTGATCTTCAATCTGTGTTTACTTGACATTGACGTTTCACTTAATTTTTGCCTGATGACGATCGCGAAATTAATTGCTCAGCGTGGAAACAGTTTCAAACTTCATCGGATATAACAGCGATTTTATAAATTTTCGTAAATCAACTTGTTCATTTCAACATGTAAAATAGCTTATCTAAACAACTATCTATATTTCAAAACGTAATATTAAAGTAAATTCAGAGAGTTCTACTGTTTAATTTATTCTTTTCCTACACTACTCGCTTACAATTCGCTTTAACTATACGTGTACACGATGAGCAAGGAAACACAAACCTATGAATCTAATTGCAGCGCAAAGCACGTTTGAAACTCACAACTGATATGTAAGAAGTTAGGTTTAAACCAGTTTTATTCTCTTCTCTTTCAGCAATGTCTTTCGGTAGAGACGATTTCGGCAGCTTTTGTACATGGTTTTAAACTAGGATGCATGGACGAGAGAGTAAGATGAAATGTTTTAGAGCTTTATGTCATGTCAGCATTTCTGTAACGATCTCTTGAATGTTTCATTGACCATTGTATAAAGAGATGCATATAGCTTGAACTTGGAGTTTGGTTACATTTCTGTCCTTGTCAGAGGAAATTACAACAATGAGTCATTGTCAAAAACTATATTTAAAGTTAAACACTTGCCATTCGTTTTTATTTAGTGAATAAATCTATTGCAATTTAAACCATTTCAAGCTCTGCTCGACGTTTGGTCAGAGTGCTCCCGCAACGTTCGGGAAACGACAAGGATATGAGATATACATCCACGGAGGATGCTGTAAAGGAGAGCTATGTAATCATCACGTCGTTCAGCCATCACACTCAGAACCACCGACTAAAAACTCAACCACACCACCGACTATCAACACAGCCACATCGTCCATATCCACTGTACCCTCTACCACCAAAGCACCCAGAGCAACTACATCCACTTTAATATCAAACATCAGTACAACTACGACAACTACGCCCACTATACCATCAGCTTTTACCGCAACAACGGCAACCACATTCATTTTACCATCAACTACTACCGCAACCACAGCAACCACGTCCACTTTACCACCAACAACCAGTACGACTTTGCTATCTACTAGACATTTAAGTCAATTAATTTTTTTTTCTAAATCCCACTAACAAGTATAGTTTGAATTAGTTTCACACCAGTCTTGCATGACATTTCGAACTGTATGTCTTTATTGATTACAAGCTGTATATTTGCAAACAGTTTCCAAACAAAATATTTCCTTGTCGTTGAATCAAAATGTAACGAATCGAAGCAACAGATATTTAACAACATCTTATCCAGTGAAAAGAAACATTCAGATTTGCAGGTTTCTATTCAGAAGCGTAAGTTAGTAGACGTGTACATTTACCTGTGGAATAAAGCTATGTAACTATACTACTAAACTGATTTTAATGATATGAGGAAAATAATTATGATAATGACAAAATTTCAACAATGACCATCACTTTCTTACTCTCCTGTATTGAAGGGGAAATGATCGTGGAAAAAACTAACGTTGTAATGCTGCAAAAGTACCGTAAACGATGTATGACTAAACGTCATCCATTCAATTATAAATATAAAACCAAGGAACTAACAATTGAATAACTTGCTTTTATTTTCAACTCTATGTCATGATAGCTGCCGATGTGGTGACCAGTACACTTATACCATGTGAGGATTACGACAAATCGGGCTACTGTGATCAGTTTGTGCCTTTGATTTGTTTAAGTACAGATCCTATGTCGCAAAAGTTCGCCTTAGCAAATTGCGCCTTAAGCTGTAAATTTTGTGATAAATTTCATGGTAAATATGAATATCTTAATTGTTTATTTTCTAAATCAAAACATTTAGTGTACTTTGAATATAATTAAAGTGAAAATTACTTTACTTTATTTTTCACTTTGAATCTCTAAACGGACTTGAAAACTATCTTTTCAATTCATTATTGAATATAAAATAATATTAACATTTTTCAATGACATGAAATGTATGACAATAAACAAACTTTATTCCTCCCTTACAGCTGCAATATCTTCTGGTGAACTTGTTATTCCAACGTAGGTGAAAAGTTTGGCAAGGAAAAACAAGTGCTTATTGGTTAAACTTGCAGGTACAGAAATTTACATAGTACAAAAATTACATTACTACTCAAATGTCTTTTAAATTTCAACATACCACACACACACACACACACACACACACACACACACACACACACACACACACACACACACACACACACACACACACACACACAAATATATATATGTGTTAAAGAAAGCGAATAAATTATTTGACCTCCCCTCCTGCTATTGATACGCTTATTACGTACAATTTTAAATATTATTTTTTCCGCGTGCGTTTTTCACGTACGTTTTAACGAAATATATTGGACGCTGTACAATATTCATGTTACTCAATGAATATTCACATTTTAAGATTAAAATATCTTGTACTGCAATTGATCTTAATGCAAGTATTTCCATCTCAATTTTGCATCTTTCAGAAGGATAACAAGCTTTGTAGGCGAAAATAAAACTTGAACACAAAAAGGTTGAATTAATGGTATCGTGACAAATTATCAAAATTGTTACTTTCACTTTAATGTCATGCGTAGCAAATTTATATATCTTATATATTTTCTCGTTTCAGGATGAACAAGAGACGATGGCCGGTCGTTTTGTAATTTGTGACATAAAATCTAATGATGCGCGATGCTAAGCGTGCGTTTCTTGTGTTTCTGATCTCCTCATGTGATTTTGACTTGGATAATCAAGTTATTGCACGTGCAATATAGAAATATATTAAGTTATGAGACTTAAGTATTATTTTATTTTGCTTTTTCGTGTTTTTGTTTTTTTGTTTTTTCTATTATTATTTTATTTTGTTTTTGTTTTTGTTTTGTTTTGTTTTGTTTTTTTTTTGAGAAAAATAAGAAGGAAGGAAATGAGAAAAAATTCTGAAAATTATTGATTGATTTCTCTTACGATGAAAGCTCTTTATTCACTGGAGCAATATCCACCACCAAGAGAAAATGCAAAATAAGATGGATATATTACCAGGCTTTAAATACCTTGATAAGTTAGTGTTAGAAGTTCATTGATGCCATATGGAATGTATCGACAAACACTATGGTATACAAACTCATCATATTTTCACGTATGTCATGTTAGATGACAACGATGATATTCCTCCTGTGGTAAAAATTACCACGGTCCAAGAAAACAAAATTATAATCATGCACTAATGGAGTTTGGAATGTCTAGCTTTTGGGTTTCTATGATGTAAAATATTCATGTTAAAGGGCAGCGTTCCTCGATCGTGCTGTTAAATCCACACTTGATATTTATATGACAGATATGTTATTGTGCATGCAGATAAAATGTCGAATAACTTGATCCTTGTCTGCAAACATTATTACAATTCCTATATACAAAACGAATTAGGCAGATTATGGAGGAAACCCAATCAATACATTATGAAATATTTCCAAAACATCTTATTTTGATAATGTAACTCAAGAAGTGGAAGTAATAGTATATGGATTTCAAAGAACTTCTAAAACACATTTTCACATTTTTAAAAATACGGCCAAATCAAAGAAGAAATGTAATGAGGGCGAAATCGTAAAAATGATCGAGCTCCGGATTGACACTATCTTCGTCGTCGAGTTTGGTCGTAATATCTCCCAAAAGAATATTGGTATACTTATGGAAAATGACTGTGTCCCTCTGTTGGCTGACTTTGTTTTCATACGAGGCTTAATTTATCAAAAAGCTTATCAAGTCATAAAGACATTGAAGTTTGTTTAATTTCACTTTCACTTTATACCGAAAATATCTTTTCTTAGTATAACAAGAAAAGTATTCACCACGTCCATCGTATATACCCACCAGAACTGGAAGTCAAAAGCACGGCAGACTCTCTTAAATAAGCCGCTTATCTCGACAGTTTTCCACCAAACCGTATGATGAGCGTGATGATTTCAAATCCCCTATTGTGAACTTTCCATTTCTGGATGGCGACATTCCTGTATCCTTTACCAATTTTGTTTGCATCTCATAGTTGATTCGATATTCAACGATCTGTTCCGATTATCAGCATTTTCCTTAACGTCATATGAACTATATCGACAAATATCATACAAAATCTCATCACATTCTTTAGTATGTCAAAATAGATGACAATGAGAACCCTCAGTTGTAAGAATGTTTCTAGGGTGCTACCCGCATGTTAGCGGAGGAATGATATTTTAGAGTCCACGAGAACAGAATTGTAATTTTGCATTGCTGAAGTACAGGGGAATCTCGGGTTTGCATGCTCAGAATGTCAAAAATGTTTTTATATGATATAACAACCATTTGTAAACGATAAATGACATATTGTGAAACTTTCCCTAAATTTCAATTGTTTGACTTAAAGTTTAATTAAAATCTGATAAAATTCCAAACCTGCTTTACAATACAGTATAATCAGCCATTCGATGCGTACCGGGTTTGAATCTATTGTTTAACTGACATGGTAAAATGTGTGTTTGTGTGGGTGGATGTGGTGTGTATGAGAATGTGTATATGTGTGGTTTTTTTTGCACCTGCCGAGTGTTTTCCTAATATACAGGCAATAATTTTTATGCTACCAATTTCATATAATAGTCAGTTTTTAAAGAACTGTCGTATTGCGTATGGACTAAGCTTGAAGATGACATGTATTGGCTTTGTGCTATGCCTTTGCTTTTATGCCCTTATTTTATCATTTTACTTGTTCAATTTTTGCTCTAGAAATTAACTGGCGGCTATTAGACCGTTGGATCTGTTTTCTCAAATGCCCAGTATATTTTGGAATACCACCAAATCTAAACCTACATACATGTATTATGAAAAGGTGAAATACTGGCACGCTTTAGAAAATACACATGTACTAAAATTATCTGATGTATGAAAATACGTAATTTATTTAATTATGTGCCAGCCGCACCTTCCTATCTAGGTTTGTACTTTTGTTTCATCATATTGGACTTTTCTTAGGCGCTAATCAGGCTTCAAAATTTAGGCACTTAGTAGCATTGACGAGTCCTAGAAAGACGGAACAGCTTTATAACGCAGTTTAATTCATTGTTTGACGGTTATGTATTTTACTCTTAGTTATGAAAATGTCTTTTGTAAAATCTTTAGTAAGGTGTTGACTTCTTTTTCAATATAAATGCCATATGCTCTTTCTGATCTATTTGGCCTGCACATCCCGACTCAATTTCCATACACAGTATGTTGGACACTACTGCGTCGTTCATTTATCATGTCTCAAGTTCTAAAACGTTGTGAAAAAAGTATTTAAAGAATCCTTTTCTCTTTAAATCACAACACAACCATTGCAGCCATTCAAAAGAGACATATTCTCGTTCATGGAGAGGAAATCGGTCCTTCATCTCAACTTTTTATCTTCAGATATTTAACTGTCCTCTAGCACACTTTACGTTATTCACATCTGCTGTATCAATCCCGATTAATCTTTTTCAGTTATAATCCTCTTCACAGATGAGCCAAAAATTGGCCATTACATCTTGTCCCCAATCATAGGCCGCCAAGTATTTTTGACAGCGCTGACCTCTTGCAGATAACGAGAAGAGAGTCAAAGTTGATAAGTTGGCAAAATGTCCTTCAGATCAACCATGATCAGATAAAAATTAATCAAGACGGTAGAAGTTCAGAATTATACACATAAAGAAATTGACATCACCTTGGACGGAAGAAGCCATAATGGAACAAATATGAACGTCCTCATAAAGAGCTTATAGACAATATTACATATATAGGTACGGAATACCCCGGACATTCCTTTGGTCGGAACATGAAACGAGATCACTTCATACCCGATAACTATATGAACAATTACAAATGTGATCGAATGATATACCGACATATGGAAATATTGAAATCGACAATGAATTGTATCTGACTTTTAATTTGATGAATACGTTTCCAATCTCCTCTGTAGTTAAGTCACTGTTTCAGAAGTAGCTTAATAAATGGTGTTATTAAAGTATACATATTCATGGGGTATGTGATCGTTTCCGTGAAAGCTACATAACGAATCCCACAAGCAACTATACATCTAACACAGATGTTACTGATTAATCTATGCCACTGTATAGTAATCGATACATGTATCGACAGAGGAGGAAAATTGTTTCAGGTATAAACTTAATTTTTGAATAAGGTTGTCCTTTTGACGACGGCATGTTTAGTTTCCATTCTGATTTCCACAGTTCAATCAAGGATAATTTTAAACACGATACTTTTTTTCCCCAAAATATTATTTTAATGCCCCAGAACTTAATTACAGAGAGCTCTGCCAGGGTTGGGGTCCTGGGGTCAGACACTACAATACATGTCGCCACACAGGAGGGCTTCCTCTCACAACACTCATCAATCACCACATACAACACCCCTACACACACACAAACACCCCTATACACTCTCACCACAATCAATATGCGTGTTTCATATATTATTTCTACTTTGTCACACTGTTGTCCTACATGTCTTGTTTTGTTTACAATAATTATCACTTTATAGAAAGGTATATCAAGTAGCACAAGTATCTAATATATATATAATATACATGTGATTCCTACCTTTCATTACTTGTCGAATTTTGTCACTCTCGATTATACCTGTTTTACATGTTATTTATACATTATCTTAATCATATACATTCGCAAACCTTTCATTCGTTCTCAAACATAAATAACATCCTTATTTTCTTACTTTACAAATCTTTTTGACTGCAAATGGATCGGGATAGACCCCCCCCCCTCCCTTGGGAATCAGCACACACTAATGACTATAAAACAAATTTATAGAAATTATAATGCTATATGAAGAAATTATATATATTATTAAGAAAAAATGCCAAATGTTCGCACTGTTTATGGGTATTACAGGTACACAATGATGAAAATTAACGTAAAGGGAAAGTTCTCTTATAGTTACATTGCATTTCGGTTTCCTAACTGTTCAAGAATCCAGTAAAAATTCCCCTCTTTTCTTGAAATTTTTTTTCTAAATCATTCTTTTTAGCAATATATTTTTCCACTTTCAAAACCTGCATGAAATACAAATTACATTATTGAAATATTGGTAATTTTTTTTTTTTTTTTTTTATTTACAGGTAAAAATATGATATCTCAACATAAACAAGAAATGGTTTAGTCTTCCACTGAATGTTGTATTACAAAATATTGCATCAGTGTTACTCAGAGTAAAATGATTTTGAAAATTGTCATTTTCAGTATACCATATAGTGAATTCCTGTAACAATTCATTTGTATAAAAACAATTGTACAGGATGTGTTCCATTGTATCTTCTTTCCTGTTACAGAATGAACATGATTTTTCTTGTTCTATGCCGATTTTAAATAGAAAAGATTTAGTTGGTAAAATTCTGTGATGGATCTTATATTGAAAAGCCTGTAGTTTGGTTTCTTTAGTATATTGAAAAACACATGCATAAGTGTCAAATTTAAAGTTTTCACTTAGGTCTAACTTTATTCTCCACTTTTCCTGACTTTAGAAAGGCTGTACAAACTTTTTCTCAGTATACATTTTGTAAATAAATCTTAAGCTCAAAGAAGTTTTTATTCTATAGATTACACTAGCAGTTTCACACATTTCTATATTTTCCCCTTGAGAACTCCTTCTTCGATATTTGTCTTTCCATCTTGGTTTAATTTTATTTAAAAGTAAATAAAAGTGAAGAAAGCCTAAGTCTGGAATATCTTAAATATTTTGCCATTGTTTTAATTAACCATTTCCAAAATAGACTATTGATTTTATTAAACACAAACTGTTTCCATCTGATTCCCAAATGAATTTTGTTGTAAAGTAGCAGGCTAATTAAGTCTTTATCTAAGTGTTCTTTTAGGCTTTGTGACTCATTCTAAATTTCTGCTAAAGCAAAAATTACATCTGTCCAGAACTTGTTTTTAATATGTTTCCCTATATTTTCAAGCAACTCTGATTTCAGTCGAACAGCAATGTTTGGATCCATTATAAAGATTTCTTGAACTGAATTTTTTCAATGTGTTAGTTCATTTTCAAGTAATCTCGTTAACCATTTCAATTTTAGATTTGTTAAAAGAACTTATATATGTAATTTAAAAGCTCCATTTTCTAGCAAACCAATCAAGGTGTCCCTTTTAATTTGTTCCACTTTGTAATTCCAAATAAACTTGTACAGTATGCTATTTAATAGAGTTATAATGTTTGGTGATGGAGTTGGAATAGAGCTTAATATATGTTCATATGTAGGAATGATAATTGATGTTACCACTGTTATTCTGCCAAGTAAAGAAAGATCTCTTTTAGCCCAGAATTTCAATTTACGTTCAGTTCTTTTAGTTTGCTAGACTATCTTTCCATATCATCCGAATTGAATGGAAAAAATCATGCCTAATAGTCTGAATTGACCTAACAGGAAACGTTTAACATATATCTGTAGAGGTTCAACATCAGGATGTCTTCGGAGCCAGAGATAAGATTACTACACCTATGATAAAGATATATAGGGACAATGAGTCGCCTTGGCGACAGCGGCGATGAAGACTGAAGAAGTTTGACAAATGACCATTATTAATTATACAACTTTTGTATAACACTTTTAACCATTTTCTGATTGATTCTCCAAAATTGAATCTTTCCTTGGCTTTATCAATGAAATCCCATTTTATTGAGTCAAATGCTTTTTCAAAATCGATAAGGTAGAGTAATCCAGGCTTGTTTTTTTTCTAAAAGTTATATCGTACAGCTGTCTTATATTTTCCCCAATAAACCTACCCCTAATGAACCCAGTTTGTGTTTTACTAATAATATCAGGTAACAGTGGCTTAATCCTATTGGCTGTGGCTGCTGCTTTTTGTAATCTACATTCAGTAATGATATTTGTCTCCAATTTCTTATATATCGTCTATCACTTCCCTCTTTTGGCAAATATGTAATACTATTTTGACATTGAAAATCTGAAAGTTTCCCATTTTTACTTTCATAGTTAACTGATCTTCGAAGATGAATTCCTAAATCACGCCAAAACAATTTGTAAAATTCTACCCAAAACCCATCTGAACCAGGACTTTCCTTATTTTCCATATTTTTAGTGGTAATTCATCTAACTTCAGTAATCTCTCACAATTTCTTTTCTGTCCTTCACTCAGAATCTGTTATTAATTAATAAACTGTATTATTTTCTCATTTTCCCCCCAAATTACAGAAGTAATTAGTATTTTTTCACCATCCTTATACCATGCAGCTATGGATCTGAACACGACACCCTTTATTTTATCTCTACGAATGTCTACTAAGTTTCGGTTTTTTGTTTTCCATCTCGGTCAGAAGCTCTCTAGAAAGATCTTTTTAAAGTTTTTCTTCTAATTTGATTATATCAGTTTCAAGACTTTTCCCCTATCTTTTCAAGTTCTATGCTTTTTATTTTAGAGAGTAAGAAATGGTCAAGGTTCGAATTTTCATTTTTAATATTTCAAATGATTAATTATCTGGAAAGTGGTAGATTCAAGATTGTGTTTGTCCCCAGATGTAATGTACTCATCTACAGTTTCACTAATGCATTCTTTTACCTGTCTGACATATTCTTGGTCCCTCAACAGTTTGGTATTATGTTTCCAATAACCCCTTCCCCTTTGTGTTTTGTCGAAGTTAAATTCAAAGGCAATGCAAGAGTGTTCAGTTCTTTAACCTGGAAAAATAGTTGCAGTCTAAGTCTTTGAAAATATATCATTTGTGATTAAAAAATAGTCTACTCTGCTTTGTCGGATGGCTGTTTTTGTCTCCATGTGAAAGTTTTTTGTTCAGGATTAAAATGTCTCCACGGATCAACAAGGTCAAATGTATTCATCATCTGAGCGATGCTTATTTCGCACTTGGGGTTATTGTTTCTAAGAATGTTATAGGTGTCTCTGTCTTTAACTGTATTCCAGACCCCACATAGAATCATAGGATAGCCTTCCCAAACCTTTAACGTTTCACATAAATTTTCGAAAAATTCTGGTGTATCTTGATTTGGCCATATACACAAGTCAGTATTAGTAATATCTAAAATATTCATCGACATAATTATTAGAATACCCATGACTTAAATTACCGCTGTTAGTGAGGCAGTACCCAAGAGAACAATCCGATCAATCCGCAGTCCGTTCTTATATTCTAATAGTGTAACCCGCGACCGGGCCCAAACTCAATAGGTCCATAGATACAATGTTCAATTCTACATAGATGTTAAACGTAGCCCAGTTTCTTCTTAGTTATTTTAAGGAGTTATCAAATTAGATATTTTCAGCATCAAACGGATAGTCAATATTTATTCAATTCAAATGAAATCTGTTTTGCCAGTTTTACACTCACCACTACATTTCGTATTTAGTATATATATATGTGTGTGTGTGTGTGTGTGTGTGTACATTATAATAAAAAGACTTACCTCTCTTAAGGACGCTATTATACATCCCAAATATCATATAGAATTCCTGTTTACGAATTATAAACATTTACAAGTTATATATTGAGTTGGAATATCCTTTTCACAGTTTCGCTATTGGATAATATCTGCCAACTCATCATACAGGTCTCTCTGTTTTCAGATTCCCTTACACTCCGCAAACACCATAGTAATACCAGACATTGTCAACGTGAGAATTCTCCTTCAACCTTTCTACGTGCAATACATTGTCTTTGATTACATCGCCCACCACCCTAATAGTGTCATTATTATAAAACACAATACTTAATTATCGGTAATTTTATACCTGTAACTAAAGGTTATATAAGAAGCAACTCACAATTATTATTCATTTCATAAAAGCTAATAACATGACAAACTAAGATGTGCAGAACGCACCTGTTGAATTGGTGTGAGGATTTTGTTGAAATGTTATCGTATTATGTTTTTTGTTAAGGAGAACGCCAGAGCACTGATAAGGTGTCGACTTGTATGCCTTTTGTACAATCTTAAAGTCTTGATATCCACGTGATATCTCGCAAACAGCTTTAGACAGGACCCTGCTGTTGGATGAATATAGACGTAATACTGAGGGATGATTATTCTACTTTCAGGTAATGACTTAAATATTTATACAATTTTCACGAACATATGTTGAATTCACAAATTGACTTGTTAGGAGGCCGTGTAGTTGGAGATTGTAACCTGTCATTTTATATTCTCAAATCGTAGACTATTTTGTCCACTATCTTGCCCGGTCGGATCTCTGATTTCATGGCAGAATGAAGAAACTTTACAAGGGATGTTAGAGCAAATAGTGTAGGCCCTCAAAAATCATTGACAAGATATCATATACTTTTTTTTAAACAAGAACATCATGAATTCCGCTCATGGTTATAGATTTTACAACATCAACATATTGTTATAAAAAGAAGAATTATCAAGAAACAAAGAACAATTGACGAATGAATAAGTAATCCGATCAATCAATATTTCAGGAAATATGTAAAATTATGTAAAGTATGAGTTTATTGAACGTTTATGATGAATTATTGAAAAAAAGAATGGAAACATCCGTTTATCTGTTCTTTGTTGGTGTGAATATGCTCCCGCGACAAACGTTAAGGAAATAGAGTATTCTAGTTTTAACATAGCCAACCACAGAAAAAAAACTAGATATTTTCAAGCTAATATCAACAATAATACGTCCAAAATCGGCTATATGTTAGAGTATATGTAATGGACTTGTAATGAACGATCATATGGCACTTTTGTCATGTTCAATGTTTATATAAAAAAACATAATACGTGTGTTAGTATACAAATAAAGCGAATACATCTCTTTTCTTTATTACTTTTATCTTATTTTCCAACATTTTTATGTCAAAAAAGTTATTGGCAAAGCATTAACAAGTGATGCCAACACATACTTATTCGACACACTTCATGTCCACTGCCAGTACTTAAATCGTTAAATATACTTAGATACATGTAATGAAAGTCATTCATTTTAGGTAAATTAAGATATTTCTATTGACAACGACAAACTACGTTTCGCAAGTTATGATCGAAATCTTGCCAAAGGTCTATAATAAATCACTAATTAATTATTAACATGTTTGAAACCTACCTAGATAGCATTTTAATTTTACACAATATATACAGTTATTACCAACGACGTGATACGAACATTTTAAATCGTGTTTGAATCAAAGGTCTCCATTGACGTTTAGCCTTATGACAGGTATAAATGGTATGAATGTATGGCGTGAGAATGACACACTGTGTAATCCTTTATCTGGTTTATTGTAACATATGTGACTATTATACTTTTGATTAGTATTACAAATAGATTATTCGTATTGTATAAATTATTTGTATAAAAACGTGGGATCTGTATTGTAAAATTTGGGCTGCATAGCATAATAATATATCAGTTCCGTGCAATTTGTAATTAGATTATCTCTCAATAAAGATAAAGAAATTCTGATCATTATTTCATTTTGTTTCCATATTCAATATTTGTTACAATGTATAGAAAATAAAATTAGGAAAATATACAATTTTTACTGGACAATGATACGTTTTAAACTATGAATCAGGATCCAAATTACAATAAGAGTAACACAAGTTGGAATTGCATTAAAGTTTTGCTGTGTGATTTCCAAATAAAATCGCGAGGTATGTTCATAAAAACGTAACCGTATTCGTCACATACGTGATGAGCAGACTTAGTTGCAGTCGCTTGCACTTTAATCATGCTAGCAATTAATCCATGGTTAATGTTTTGTTACATTTTGCTTGACCTTGTTTTTAATCATAGTTTTGTTCATATTTTATGTCTTTGTTGTTTTTGTTGCATTGCTCTTTGGTGTAATTTCCATTTGTATTATGAAAGTGTCTGTGCTGGTAACATTATGCCAAGCTCAGACGTGTGAGGATGTGGATTCAGCAATTTGTCAGGACATGTTCTCACTTGATCCCAACATATGTTCGAATGCCTGCTATTCCGCGACCCTTTGCCCTCGTTTCTGTGGAAAATGTCGTAAGTATAATTACACATCATAACATATGTTTCCATTGTAACATCTTGAGAGGGTATATTCAGCAATTCACGTCAATGCAAAAATATTCTGATCAACGAGATACGGCTTATAATGCTGTATAAAAGTGAAAATGATATATCTACCTTTTGATGCTAAAAGGCTGAATGTTTAACCTAGGAGGCGACTGAGGAAGTACCAAAGTGAATTAGAGAAATGTTAAGAATGAGATGGGGAGGTGCTCTACCCCTATCATTCACCGAGTTTCATAATTTTCATATATATGTATTTGATCGTGCATTTGTATATTTGGAACAGTGCCACTGTTCGAATGAATTGAAACGTGACATGCAGGTTATGGCAAATATCAGGGACTTATAGTCGACCAGTAGTGTTTAGCACATAAACTCTCAAATAATTTTAACTAATTGAACCTTTCTGTCGACTGACTTAAGAAAGATCTTATCGAAACATTTCACAAAGACCATGTAAAGTCGTGTAATTTCGCTTACAGATATATCGATGACATCTTGTCTTTAAGTAACAAGCAATTTATTGACAACATCCATCGTATGTACGATATCTGGAAATAAAGAACATGGCAGACTCTTTTACATTAGCCACTTACCTCGATCTTTTCATATAACGAAACCATCATGGACAAATTTACACCAAGCCGTATGATAAGCGTGATGATTTCAATTTTCCATTTCTGGATAACAGTATCTCTGCATCTCCAACCTATTGTGTTTACATGCCTTGTTCCATACTCACGATTTTCGTGAAAGAAGTCGTCAAATTCACCATACAGGGTTGTCATCAATGAAGAAGAAAACGCTAACTCTTCCTGAACAGCTGGTCTTATTCTCCTTGTACATTATCATGAATTTTCGTGTAAATCTTTCTTTTGTTTATATTTTACCTTATTTTTATGGAACTCGAGTTTTGAATATGATAATGTTGATATTTTCTGTTGTTTGCAGCACTGAAGTGTTACTCTTGCCACGAAGTGGATAGTCCAGATTTATGCTACACAACAACACAATGCCCATCTGCTGATCATGTGAGTACCTTATCGTCAAAAGTCTCGAGTAAAGTTTCACTTTAAGCGTTTATTTGGGTTTTGTCTGATAAGTTTTTGCCCATCTATGAACCAACCAAAGATCAGATGAGTAATTTGAAGTTTGTTGTTTCGATGTCTGTAGGTTGATTGTAGAGTTTCTATGTCGCGTAAACTCTTATAATGACATTATGATTATTTGTGTTTGTTATTATGCTCAAGGGTCCATCATCCACTCTGCTAGATACCTTTAAATGTCAGGTACATTTTGTAGTGTATTACTTATGGGTATTACATATATGTTATCCTATTCTATGAAAAAGTGTCAATGCGTTATTTTGTGGAACTTTATTTTTATGACTGTCTCATTACGTTGTCGTAATGAAACGTTTAGTCTTATTCATACACTGTCAATATTACTGAAATCATCACAAAAACGTAAAATTTAATAAACCGAAGGACGTAAGAAATGTTCTGTCCTGAGTTGAGACAAAAAAGTGTTTGACTTCCAGTTAAGATTTTGAAATGTTCAGAAGATGCGAAAAGCCTCAAATTGTACATTTTCTACACTTATAGCAATGTACATTTCAAGATTGCAGATTTTGTTATTATCATTGCAGATGAATGACAGGTGTATATGTAAATTATGCATAGTAAAATAGATATGAAATTGTGTTTCTAAACAGTTGTTTATCATTATCTACAGTAACTTGTGTACATATGTTTGTACCAGACATGTCCCATTGCACGGCTGTATGATTAATTTTCTACACAGTACTGTACATTAATTGGTATGCAAGTTAAGATATGTCCAGAGCTCCACAATAACTTTTAACCTTTTGAAAACCATTTGTCCGAAAGATTAACCCGCTTGTCCGAATTTCAGCAACTAATGCAATCTTACGTTATGTCATAATAAGTAATTTTTGTTCATATACATATTTAGAACTTATGTTACAATAAGTGTCATTTATTGTCGCTATCATTATATTAAAGTTTTATTTTTTAAGTGTTGTGTATATTTTATATAGTTAATATGAAGTGACTGATCTAGTAATTACCAAAGATTGAACTACATGCAGTAACCTGCTTGATTTTTAGTTTTTAGTACCTGTCTCTCATAACACTTCTCATGCGCTTAGCTATTCCAGTGGGCAATTATTGTGTCTTTTCTGTATGTTGTCATGATAAACAGTGAACAGGTCGTGTCCGCAAGTGACTGCATGCCACATTTTTTACTGGAATGTACGAACGCTTCTGTTTTAATTCATGCTGCTTATTTTTATCCTTTTCTGGCTTGAAGCTTGAAACAGCCTTTTGAAACAAACGCAAAATTGACACAGATTGCAATCATTTTCGGAACATCACTGACTTTATCGTACAGAACAATGCAAACAATGATTATATTATTTTAGGCTGAGAGTTTGGTCTCGAAGGAGTCGATTGATTACGCCAAAGAAAAAACAAAAAGCGCAATTTGGTAGAGGAAGGATTTAATTGGTTTAAACAAATGAATTAGTTACTTTGTCTGCCGAAATTCATAGGAGATGTACTTGTCCGACGTGATTTTGCACTGGTACGGACAAGTCGGGCAAGCATTATTGTCCAGCCCTGTTATGTGTAATTTGTTTTACTTATCCAATTCACACAAAAAATCACTTAAAAAGATTTATAGATATTGCTCTTTTGCAATCTTTTTCAGTTTTGTATCTTAACGGAGTCATTCAATGACAACTTCCAGGACGTTTATAAACTCGGTTGTGCCTTGAGCTCTGTAAGTATATGTGTATATGTTGATTATCCGGTGTTGTTCCTTTGGGAGTCTTTCGTACAATCTTTAATCATCTTCTTATGTTTATTGCGTGAAGTGTCTTAGAGGGAAGAAAAAGTTGTATTATGCACTTTAATTGTTTGAAAGAATTATGTCTTATTCTTTTTTTAAATGTGTTATTTACTTGTGTGTATTTTGTGCAATTCTATCGGATACGCATTATGACTATGGAATATTGCAATAAAATTCTTTCTATGGATAGGTATGCACAGCTCACTTTGGTCCTGGAATAGGTCGAAGAGAAGATCGTCCGTCAAAACGAAGTGGGCTTCAAGGCACATGTTGTGGTACAGATTTATGCAATGTGAAGACAAGGAATATTACGACACAAAGTCCTTCAACACCTCCACAGCCAACACCAGAGTCAACAACTACGAATCAGTTGTCTTTCTCAGTCTTTCCAGATATACCACGTGATCTATCTGATATATCCCTCAAAATTCAACCAAACACAACGATGACGTCAGCGCCAGCTGTTTCGTCCGGTCTGTGTGATGATATTGACGCTGATATCTGCACTCGTCTTGAAACGGATTTCCCAGGGATGTGTTCCATTGACTGCATTGCCAACGAAATATGTCCACGAAAATGTGGCAAATGTAGTAAGTATTAAGTGAGATTATGGTTATAATTGTAATTGTTTAACTTCACGTCAATAAATATGAGAGTCTGATTTTGCTCATCAAGACCTTTTTAAATCATTTAGTCGGATGCTACCAATGCAGTCACGTCACCAGCCCGGAGTCTTGTTCACAGAAAACCGTTTGTAGTAAGGGAGAGGTAACATACTTAAATTTTGTCATTTCCAAACATTTCCTGAGAGACAAAGGACAAAATTAACAAGATTATTTTCTGATAAATAGGAATGAAACCAATGGCAAGTGATGAAATGTTAACACATAAGGCAACGCATAGAAATTTAGATGGGTACATTGTTAGGAAAAAACCCATAGTATAAAGATGTAATAGAAACAAAACGTGTTAAACCCGAGAAACGTTTGCTGTAATATGTGTAATTTTGCGGCATGACTTTTCATACACGGAAAGTGCCGTTAATGAAGATTGATAAAGGAAGAGACGCCATACTCTGTCAAATAAATATCTGGTCTTATTTTCCTCTTCTAAATTCCTGAGATACCGTAATAAAACGTTTTTTGTCTAATTTTACCGATCTTTAGCTGGAATAAGTATGTGTTTCCTTTTCGGATATTCCAATGTTGTCCACAATTAATATTTACTGTTGATATAATTATTTGGAGATGACATAAGTAATTTGAAACAATCATACAAATCGGAGTTTTGTTTTCTTGTTTGCTATTTTCCGGATACAATCATTTGACTTTGCCACCAACGATTTATTTTCAGCAATGCTTTTCGGTAGAGACAGTAACAACAAATTTTGAACAAGGGTTCAAACTTGGATGTATGGACGAGAGGGTAAGTTAATTCTAAATGAATATTTTCATACACCAATAAATATCATATTAATTTCAACGTATCTGTTTGTTGGACTCATGTACAGGTAGTTGTTCATATGCTTGTGGAAGTTACTTTAGTTTTGCACTTGTTATTCACAACATTTATCATGAATATATTACCAGTACTCCATTTGATTTGGTCACAGATAGATCGATAATGACTGAAAGTATACATATCATTTTTTTCATAAATGGATAATAATAATAATAAAAAAACAATCGACCGTTGAATGATGAAAACATTTGTCCTTTCAAGCTTTGCTCGACGTTTGGTCATGCTGCTCCAGGGATATTCGGCAAACGGCAAGGGTTCGAATTGTCTCTTCATGGTGGGTGTTGCAAGGGAGAATTTTGCAATCATCACGCATTGTTTCCAACTTCCACGGTTCCAACGACCACCAGCACTACAACTATACCAACTACAATGACGACCACAACACAGACAGGTAACGAAAATAGATTTTTATCAATTATCACAATGTAAACAGAACCAAGGGATTCAAAAATTCACGAGAATAAATGAACTGAAACCACAAAACAAAAATAAGAACAAGAAAATAGATCAGCTTATGCCATAGTAAACTGTGTCTATAGTGGCATTGATGTCATAAAAAGGACACGATAATTCGACCATGTCATCATGGGCTTAATTGGAGGGGATCCTTCGGCAAACAAAACGAAGTGTTGATGACATAGATTTTTGGTTCCCGGTCATTAGATAACAATGATGTTCTTCCTTTGTCATAATGACAATAAATTACTAAGTTATACATTATGTAGTGTAAAATTCTTTAGGAAATATAGAAGCTACAAAACGCGATCATATAATAGGGGTAGCAGACACCCTTTAAAAAAACAAACACCATCTTTACATATATGAAAATGTTCAGTTAATGGACAATTCTGATAAAACATATCTATATATAATTAATTACGTTTCAAAAAGGAAAATGTTTAAGGAAGTTACATTTTGATATTGTAGACTTGCAAACTAGACTAAACGACATGGGTTTCATTTCAGTATGTCCACATCGTTATTCGAGTTGTCCATCCGGCTGGATCCATCACCAATCATCATGCTACGCTATTGGAACACCAATAATGGACTGGAACAGCGCTAAGGTAAGTCAATATATAAAATGAAATATGTAATTACCATGACGTTCTAATACATAGACAACGCCACAATAGCCAATGATTGTTCAGGTAATTTAACTTGAAACACTTCATATGAACATAAAGCTGAATACAAGCCTTAAGGTTTATATATTAATTGTTCTTAATGACCAGGACTAACGCAACACGCAGTAGAAAGACGTTGCTCCGCAGTTTTGAAACAAACTTCTGACAATTAAATGTTAACCCATTCCTCATGAATTCATGTAAGGCCAGCCATTTCTGTTCACTATCTCGATTGCGAAAAAAACAAACAAACAATAAAACATATGTCAACATTGATAGAACAAAATTGTAATCAAGAAGAACACATTGTTTCGTATGCGGAAAGAGAGATGTTAAACTAGGCTAGATTTATTAAAATTGGTATATATATATATATTATGGTATATAAAACGGAAATAGCCCAAAAGTTCGGGGTGTTTTTTAATAATTATCATTTTTTAATACCAAGTGTACCAGATTCATGGTCCCAAACTCTTTTGTTAAAATGTTGTGTCCAGTAAAGTTGTTTTAGGGGAACATTTATCAAATTCTTATAATATGTAATGCTACATTTGTTGCCAGATATATGGTACAATGCATATATGATGATATCAAGCATCGTTACTTTGTTCTTTAAAGGCACAGTGTGAGAAGAATTGCGGCGTGCTTGCCGATTTTGACAGCTCAACTGACCTTCACAGTGTCGCATCGAGTATTGGACATCAATTCTCCCATCATATCAGCTCTAGTAATGTTACAATTTGTTTAATTGCATGGACAATATGAACATTTTATAAGTAATGATAAGAATACTTGTCATAGTTGTATTGTTTAATTATTCTATCTTTGATACATAACTACAAATATATAAACATAGCTTCACTATCTCCTTCTACTTTATTAGAAGTCTCCGTTTCTTTTTGTTCATAATTTGGCCTAGTTTCATTGAATTTGAATTTGAATGAGATTCTGTTATTATGTCAGTTATTTGTTTATGGTTTACAAATCTGGTATATACGTGTACATGTCTCAGGTTCCATCGGATTACTTATACAATAAGTAAACTAAATTGATCAGAACATAACATGGCGGGTTATTAGTTATATATACTTACTATATACATATTACTCTAAATGAAGTGCTGTTCATTCTTCGCGCTCCGATGTTATTAATGATCGATGGTATTTGATTACGTATACACAACTTATTATGTCATACATGAACCATGTAAAAAGCTCCAAAGCCTCTTAACAACCTCGTATCTTTTTGCTTTTTGTAGGTAGTATCAACGTTTGGGTGGATGGTAAACTAGCTCATTCCGTATGGGAATGGAGCAACTCCGGACACACGGCTCATTCAACTCTACAACACAATAATAACTTCATGTACTCCTACTGTGGATACATTACAATAGTCCCGCACTCTGACTCACACACATCGGGTATCAGCTCCTACCTACATCCCCAAGCTTGTAGTGTTGCATATTTACCGTTGTGTGAAATTAAACATGTACACAAATCATGAATAAATATACCAAAGCAAATGAATGTGACTTTGTTAAATTTGTATAATAGAGTATCAATACAGGAAGAATGTAATGTTAAGGAGAAAAACAGCAACATCAAACAAGAATGACGTTTAAAATACTCGATGTTTTACTGAAATGCAAAAAAAAAAAAAAAAAAAAAATTCTTCCTAATCAGATAAAGTAATGTAGATATTTCACATAAAGCAGTTTGCTGAAATGTCCACACATCCTCGATACTCCAGGGGTTACGACCACACTCTCTTCCTCTGCACCTTATTTAAAGCACAAGCGAAACGTTTTTGTCTAGAGCGATTTCAGGAAAACAAAATATTCCGTTATGTGACCTCGAGATTCCCTTAATATACATCAAAGGATCAAACTAGTCTTGTGGTCTTATCCACAAGATGGATTCCCATGAAATGTTTTCCATGTGCATGTGGGTTTAAATGGTTTTGTAAGCGATTCTAAACAGATAAAGGCATTAAAAATCTGGAACACTGAATAAGGCGGCAATTGTTTTGGTAGAAAACTCATCCTCATTTGATGGACTCATCATCTGCAGTGGTGTCTACATGTTTAATAATCTTAGTATACTGTTTCTAATGACTTAATATAACAATGGTATGGATAGTTATGTTTGCCGTGTCGTACCATATACAAGCCCTATGGTTCAATATATTTTTCTTTTCATATATCAGATAAGTTTAGATTAACTTCATGTTCATGTGTTTTCTGAACTGTACTGCTATTCGAATGAATTATAACGTAGAATGCAAATTACGGCGAACCTCGGGGAATTAAATCAACGAAATAAATGTCAACATCTAGATGGAGAAGTGCACTGGACCTATAATTTAATGAATTTCATAATTTTCATATATCTGATAACTTAAGAACATTGTCTAGGTCATGCGCATAGTCTGAACCGTGCCACTTTTCACGTGAATAGAAACGTGGCATTCAGGTTACAGCAAATATCGGGGACTAAACTTTCACCAGCTGTGTCTACCACCTGCACCCGAAGATTTTACGAAAGACAGCATGTTTTTAATTGTCCATTCTGTATTCAATTCTAAACATATCGTCCGGATAAAAAAACGTACAGTTTGACTTTAAAAAACATATTCTGAGTGTTTAATATATGTGATGTGTATAAATGTGCTTAATTAGATGTGTTATTGTAAAAACAAATGAAAGGTGGGACAGGATACAATGATATTGTTCAGATTTGATTGGGCACGCAGGAATAAACGTTTTCTAAAAAAAAGATAGATTTAAAGATGAGCGCCCGGTCTTATCCTCCTTGTCCTTTTTGATGAGTCGCCGTGTAAATCTTTATTTTTTTTCTATTGCTCGAATTTCACTGTCTTTTGTATATTCTTCTAACATCCAGTAGTGCAAGAAAATGGACGTTTCGATAGGTGAATGATGGCTGTTGTCAAAGTAAAGTGCAACATTAACTGATTAACACTAACATTGACGGATAACTGTATTTACTATTCCAACAGAAAGAAATAGTTTTACTGAGTGTAACTAATCACTTATGTTGAAAATATAAACACCAGTTTCATTTTAATGAACGGTCAAAACGTACATTGTAGTTAACTTATTTTCTCGTTCACATTTCTGACTTAAAAAGATATCAGTTACAATTATCATGATTTATATACAGATAACCCCTGATAACGAATCTGACACACGGCCATGTGTCATTTTACATATAAACCAGGTCGACCTATATCATAGATAAGCACATGCACCAAGGCGATGTTGTCGATCACAGGTATATATGTTAAAATGTACAATTTGTCTGAATTTCTTTACTCTTTTGTCATTAATATTAGACATAAGACATACTGATGAACGTACTACCTAGAAGATATTAATAAAAATAAAAGTAATAATGAAAAAAACATGACGTTATTGCAATTATTAAAGTTTATGTAACGAAATACTGTGAAAATCCCACGAATTATCTCAGTTTAATAGAATTGAATCAATAATGTACAAACATTTTCAGGAAGAAAGTGAACATTTCACATAATTGTCCTGATGTAGAAATCATCGGGCGTATTTCGTCGATTGCAGGTAAAATATTTGCTTACATATGGACTAGGGTAGATACAAAACGTATTTTATGAAACGAAGTATTTTTATTACAGTTATTCTCTGTGGTTTGATGCTGAGCATTGATCAATCAAATGCAGCATGTGACGACGTCAATTCCTTGATCTGTCAGGACCTCTACAACCTCAACCCCAACATGTGTGACAACCCATGCTACTCTGTAGCCCTTTGTCCTCGATTCTGTGGAAAGTGCCGTATGTGTTTCTTATGTTTGTAATATACCTCCCTCTCGCTCCCCTTCTCTCTCTCCCCTTCTCTCCTCCTCTCAATCTCTCTCAATTTCTTGGCTAGACGATTAGGTGCCGTAGAAAGTGGCCCGACAGAGTGAAATGTCTGTTAAGTTTACCACAATTTTGACACTGCCTTTCTCCATCGATTTTCCTCTGACGCCTACTAGGTTGAAAAATCGAGGCTATTAGCATCATTGTCCAGTCCTAGAAAGGTGGAAAGCTGTATGATTCAGTTTTCTATCACTTCTGTATCTAATGTTAAATTATGTCAAAAGGTGGCATCATCATCTGTGACCTACATTCTTTTTACTTGCTTAATTGTTATATTAATTTCATTGTAATAAGAATTTCATCCTATTACACTTTCCTATTATGTCTTAGTATGTCTTAACACAGATGTCATCTCCATCTTAGACAGCTTCGAAAATGTTGTATCGGTATCAGCGTTAATGTATGATTTGTCTGTAACTTGTCACTACAGCTTTGAAATGCTATCAATGTCATGAGGTATCCAGCCCGGATCAATGTTATACCTCCGTGGAGTGCCCATCAGTAGACCATGTGAGTATCATGTGATTACCAAAATCTATGTAAACGGAGATACTGAAAAAAGACCCAAAAGGTGTACAGTGGCATTTATAATATCTAAAATATACGTAATAATGGGTTTGATATTCCGTTGTTATTATTCATTCTCAGATTATATTCATCCATTTAAGGTTGAAGGAATATTGGCATCGTTCGAACATTGTTTTTAGGCGAACTACAACTCCATTTGAATTGTAAAACAATTTGTCCAATAGTCGATAAGAGAGAACGATTTAGAAATAAAAGGCAGAAATACGATGTATTGTGTCTCTTTAAACACATTGACAAAGACAAATTCGTTTTTTAAGCGAAGATAATAAAAACGTTGAAGCTAATGTTCTAAATCGAAATGAGATCACTAAAAACTATTGCGAATATACATTATACGCACCTTGTGTTTTCCGCCTAATGCTAGAAGCGAAGAACACATCAATTAAAACATCAAGAAAATACCAATATGGCATCATAATCCAAACTCAAATTCCATAAAACAAGGACAAAATAGGAAAACAATGATTTCTACGGAGACTCCTGAAAATAAGACAAGGTGCTCCGAAAGAGTAAGCGTCTTCTGTGTCATCGAAGACACCGACATGTAAACCTTGGTCAATTCAAGTACGTAACGTCATATTCTCAGATGAGATCAAAGCATACAATAACAGTGGTCGGGTGGCGCAGTGATAACGCACTCGCCTTTCACCTAGCCGACCGGGATTCGATTCCCGGAACGGACGTGAAAAGGTAAGGGATCACCTGCCCGACCACGTGGGTTTTCCCCGGGTACTCCGGTTTCCTCCCACAATAAGACCCCTCGCGCGCTTACATCCGGGCCAACAAGAGTGATTAGTTGATATAACTTGTTTCGCAATTGTTGTAAAATAAATAAAGTTTATGTTTATGTTATACAATAACGGAACCGACAGGAAAACTAACTAACATCGAATCCGTCAAACTTCATATCTCACAAAGAAAAAGCCATGTAGAATATTTCTCAATGGCGACCATAAAACTTTCCAATGATTCTCATCAACCTGCATCTTATGAACCCCAGTGTTACGAGTTAATCGCGATAATGGGAACAGGCCCTTTGAATATCGAATCAACTGCGTCATGTAAACACCATTGGTTAAGGATTCAGGAATTGTTGCTATCCAGAAATGGAAAATTCACGATTTGGGAATTGAAATTATCGTGTTTATCATACAGCTTGGTGGAAGGTTGTTTTTGCTGGTTTCGTTGTAGGAAAATATCATGATAAGCAACTGACATGGAAGAGTCCAATTCCAATTCTGGTGGATATATACGATGGACATGATCAATAAAGTTCTTGTTATTTAATGACAAGACGTCTTCAGTATATCTGAAAATGAAATTAAACGACTTTGCAAGGTCTTTGTGAACTGTTTTGATAAGGTCTTCAATAAATCCAGCCTCGTATGAAAACAAAACCAAATCAGCCAACAGGGCACAAAGCTAGTTCCCATAGGCATGCCAATAGTCTGTTGGATGATCATACCACCAAACTCGACGAAGATGATGTCAACCAGAAACTCGATCATTTTTATTGTGTCATTATCTGTATAGTTCTTCTTTGATTTTGAAGTACTTTTTTAACGAAATATGCTACAATATACAGTTCACCTTTCTTGGAGAAGAAAGCTCTCTTAACAAGAGAACGGAGGCGTTCCTTCAGGTTAGAATGAAGTGGAAAAGTAATGTTGTTGTTTTCCTATAAGAGTGTTGAAGGGTGTCAAATCTCTTTAGAATTCTTCAAAATCACAAGCTATCAATTTCTTGAGTAAACATGACCACAAAAAGATTTTTACACAGAATTGATAATACTTAGAATGGTGGTTCAGTTTTTTTGACAAAGTTTGGTTGAACAGCTAGACAAACCAGCAATAAAACGTTGTTTATATGAACTTAACCCACTCAAAAAGTGAGTCCAACATGGCATGTTCTCGCTTCACCTAATCTCTTACATAGTTTTCAACAGAATCCATAAGTATCTTGAAATTTATATTCCAAGTAATAGACAGGGTTTCAATAATTTTAGGGCGCTTCTTGAAAAGCTCTCATTGCTTAGCATTTTGTATAATGCTTAAATCACCAGGTGCTATGTGCCCAGTTGGGCCATAGTTATAAGTAGAGGTAGAAAAGAATAAGCTGACGAAGGACTACTTCGAACGTCATCTGCAATGTTTGTTTATGGTATCCACTCCCTGATTTACAAACACAACATTCATGAATTGGCGAGTTGGAGGATCCTGGCCATCTGTACGGACACGTTTAAAAAGTCTGACTTGTGCCACATCATCAATAATGAAAATTGTATCATGTGTCTCAAAAAACATAATGTAGTAACAATATTTAAATTGTGTGTTCCTAACTTTATCTTATTTCTCTGTTTCTTCATATTTTAACGTTTCATAGTCTTGCATCACTACCGAATCTTTTACTGACGATTTCCGGGAGGTCTATAAGCTTGGCTGTGCCCCTAATACGGTAAATATTCATATTGTTTCAATATGACTAAGTATAAAAGATATACAATATTTAGTCAGAAATGGTCCATGTCATAAGATATGTCAGTAATTGTTGCCATCGTTCCTGACTTTTGCAATTTCGTATTAAATTTACTTTTCTATTACGACAATTGCGACATACCGTTCTGTGGAAATCTTCCTCATGTAAATTCATCATTTCAAATTTTTCTTTTATTTATTAAGTGAAAATGTATTGCACACTTTGTATACACAATTTGCCTTGATTTTAAAGTACATACACATGTATTGTCAGGTATGCGCATCGCATTTCGGTACAGTCATAGGTCGAAGGGATGACGAAAACATTTCAAAACGAGGCTTGCTCAAAGGATCTTGCTGTGATACTGACTTGTGCAACGTGAAGACTCGCAACGTGACGAATGCCTTAAGAAACCAACCGCCACCAACGACACCAACGACACCGCCTTTGCCGCCAGTAACGGACACTCTTGTACCTGTTATATACCCAACGATGTTTCCCATATTTACACCTAATGCGGCAACGACTAAGGTTACCACATCTGCTTCGCGAATGACAACGACTGCCATGGTGACTACAGCTCCTGTTAGCACATCTAGTCTTTGTCATGACGTTGATACGGATATATGTTCCCGCCTTTCAGGATACTTTCCTGACATGTGTACCATCGACTGTATTGCAAATGAAGTTTGTCCCAGAAAATGTGGCAAATGTAGTATGTTAACTTTTATTAATTTTACCAAGGTACCTTTTGAACACATTATAATTTCCCCAGTCTAATGCCAAAAAAGATCTTTCCCTGATTAAATGATAATAAATAAATAAATAAAAACTATCAAACAAACACTAGTATTATCACATTGATACACAATGGTGTATAAGGAACGTCTTTTTACTATGCTATTAGGATGAATAAAAAATGCAAATCACGAGCAACATATACCGATCGGTGATATAAGAACTATATATATCTAATATCAATGCATTTTTTCATAATTGTTGATTTATTATATTGTCTCATTTAGTATAAACAATGAATATCGAGGGGAAGGGGGAGGAGGGGGGTGTTTACCGTGCTTCGTTGTTTATTTTTCCGGAACACCTGGTTTTACGCTCCCCGTACTTTTCCAGTGGTCTCCTCATTAATCGTTCATTTGTTTATGATTTGGCATGGTTTCATCGGCTTTGAATTTGAATTAATATTTTGTAACATTTCATTATTTTCATTGTTGCTTTTACACATTAAAAAGATGCTTTTCTCAGTCCTTTGCTGTAAGCTAGATAATGTATCTTCATTAGAATTGCTCTCCCTTGGATAGTCATGAATATCGACATTGAATTCATACCTGGCAATGTATTTTATAGTTGGATGTTACCAATGTAGTCACGTAACTGCAGCAGAAAACTGCACTCACACAACAGTTTGTGCTAGTGGAGAGGTGAGAGAATTTTTCCTTTCTTGTTTTTAAATCTGAACAGTCAATAACATGTTCATTTACAAAAACTAAATCTATGCTAGCTTAAGAAAGAGGAACAAAATTATTTCATTCAGATCAATCATCGGCAGATTTAAAGTTGGCATTGGTGTTATATTTCATTTGAACGCTGAAATTAGAGACAAAGCTAAAGTACCATATACCGCTAAGCACATGTTTGACTGAATATGTATCTTCGCAAAATCGGTAATGTAGTACATTAAAGTATTTCAGCTCTGAGTTGACAATTATAATACATCTCGATATAGACATGTCACATTTACTTTATTCATTCATCTATTATTTTTACCATCAATAAAACGTTTAAGTTGTAAAATACATGTATTAATGTCTAATCATTTGTCCTAACGTAATGTTATTTTCGTTGATTTGAGCTATGCTATACTGTGGAAACGATATCGGCTTCGCTGGAACGAGGATACAGAATGGGATGTTTAAATGAAAAGGTAACAATTCTTAGAAGTGATTAAAATTGCCACAGTAGTAATGTAATAAGATGATTTTTGTTATTCCACGTGTGCATATCAAAAAACGTATTCAGTGCATTCAATCTAAGCCAGCTTAAATTATATCCGTTGTAATCCATGAGGTAAGAGTGGTAACTCAAAATTAATAATATTGCATATTATGATATGAAGGTAAATCATTGTAACTATGGTGGCGTGTAACTGCTATCTACTTGTCTTGTTGCCATGGTGATTTATCGCGACAAATTGTCTCATCAAAACGACTTTTCATGATAATATAGTGTTACGTCGTCTAGTCGTGATAATTATCGCGATTAATTTATCTTACAGTAGCCCTAAGTATCATGACAACACGACATTTTATCGCGAAAATTCTGACTTGCGTTAAAACGTTACTTTCTCTTAAAATAGATTTACGCGTTGTTCGGGAGGCCTCGGTATTTAAAATTTTCGGTGACGATGAGAAGAAATCAGTGTAAGGCAAATGTTACTTACTGAGGTATCATGAAGAACATGTCAGTCATTCTTAGAGAAGGTTAAGTTTTAACGCATGTCGGATCCAATCATTATTGCGGCAAAATGTCGTGTTGTCATGATACTTAAGGCTGCTTAGATATCAATTTATCGCGACTAGTCGACTTAGTAAGACGTCTTCACACGAAATTTTCATGACAGGATGTTTTGATACAACGATTTGTCGCGATAAATTATCATGGTAACACAACAAGTTGATGTCAGTTACATGCCACCATTAAGGAAATGCGAATTATGAATCAGAGTACGTGAGAAATACCTTCTGATATCTAACCTGTGGGACTGTTTTGACCACCATACATTGTATTACAACTCGTATTTGGTATGAGAACTGGACAAATTGAAGTATCGACTAAGATAGCCAATGTCATTTGAGGCATTACATTCAAGTATGAAAACCGGATACAGGAAAACTCAAGGCATGATTCCATGTCATTAAAATTGTATCTTACCACATAATATTGGCTACGTCATAAAACCGCATTTTTTTTTATCAAACTACCTTTTACACTCTCGCGCAACTTGATAGACAGATCAGATTAACAGAAATTACACGTTACATAATACATGCGGCATATAACCATTTTATATTACAATTTTTAATATCATCGATTTGATATATAAGTATTAAATATACATGTACCAGCTGTGTTCGACATTTGGCGAAGCTGCTCCAGATATTTTCGGAAAGCGACAAGCATTTGAACTGTCTCTCCATGGTGGATGCTGTAAAGGGGATCTGTGCAATGACCATGCCCTGCTGCCCACGACGACTCCACCACCGACAACAACTCCTCCAACGACAGTCCCAACGACTACGACTCACATAAGTAAATTTTTGTCCTTGTACCATTGCCTTATAGCACTACTGTGCTAACATAAAAGCTAATACAGTTTTTTTCGTTAACTGCAACGTATTATTGCCTAACGTTATGTTGAAATGTTATAAGCAACACCTACATGGAAGGTATGTTCATTAAAGTGCAGTGAAATATACGTAAAAATATACGTAACAAATAAGAAAATCAAGGAACTTGAATGCCTTCCAATATACCTTACCGCGCTTTTCTTTAATGTATTTACATACAGTGGTGTTTACTTAACAAACACGCACTAACTTTTTCATGAAGATGTACATTACGTATTCAGGCATTTACTTTTCCTTAATGAAAATACATTAAAAAATATAAACTTTATTTATTTTACAACAATTGCGAAACAAGTTATTTCAACTTATACTAATCACTCTTGTTGGCCCGGGTATAAGCGCGCGAGGGGTCTTATTGTGGGAGGAAACCAGAGTACCCGGGGAAAACCCACGTGGTCGGGCACGGGAATCGAAGCCCGGTCGGCTAGGTGAAAGGCGAGTGCGTTACCACTGCGCCACCCGACCACCCAAAATACATAACTTTCATTAACGAAACAAAGTCATTTTCCTTGAAAAAAAGGTATTCGCCCTTCAGTAAAGAATATACCTTCAGTTTCCATTGCGAACATATTCGTTTTCTTCAATGAAGTTTTAAAGAACATCAATTCAATTTTCTTTATGAACCGTGTGTTCATTTTTTTTTATTTCAACAAAAAACTAATTCGCTGTTTCTTTTTTTAACGAACATGTAATCTTTTTTTTCTTAACGGACACGTATTAACATTATCTTAACGAGCATGGATTCTCTTTTCTAACGGAAATGTATACACGTTTTCTTTAACTAACACGTATTCATTTTTCTAGACTGTCCGAGTCATTACATCAGATGTCCAACGGGTTGGATTCATCATGGAAGTTCATGTTATGGTGTATCACTTACTTTAGTGAACTGGTCGGATGCGAAGGTAATGCATTGAGCAGTACGTGGTACAACAACGGAGACTGGTTCGAAACACAATGCATATCCTTGTCCTATACATATAATCCTTAAGGAGAAACTTCTCTAAGAAGTTCAAAAAATCCAATATTGAACTATCGTTCTGATGATGACTTTTGAAAGGTTATATTTTCGAAACTGTTTAAAAGCGAAAATCCTATATGTTGCATACTTCTTTTCCGATACAGATGTTGGAATATGGAATGTTACATCATTCGCAAATTATTTTAAATTTTTTTTTTTTTTTTTTTTTTTTTTTTTTTTTTTCGAAATAACAAACTTTTTTGTTAAAATGATTATTTGTTTTTCATCAAAATGTAATAACATATACTTAGATATCAAGATATAAAGCATAATATGGAAATGCTACATTTTGTTAGGGTTTCATGAGCATAGCAACCAAAAAATGAAAATTTTGAAAACTGACTTGAATCCTTAATTTGACCTTGTTCTACTATTCAACGTTTTCAAAGAATTTATGATTAGATAGCAAATACTTTTAGGATATTTCATGACAAAAGCAATGGGGGTCGTTGTGCTTCAACTTGTAATTTTAACCCAAATAACCGTTTTTTAAGATCAAACACAAGATGAAGTATCATTTTTAGGTCCTAAAAATCAAAGGAATTACTGGATTTCAAATCTTATTTTCAGTGATTATTCATGCAAAGTTTAGTTAAAATCTATCAAATCTCCCAGAGTTATATTCGGGAGAAGTACCTTAGCAACGAGAAAATGTTGAAATTGTTGACGTTACTAACAGTCAATTTCGACGTCAAAAAACATTGTCCACAAGCGAAAGTTCTCTGAAATGTGTAAAAGCATAAGACCAACATATTACGCTGGAATTCATTTGATATTGAATTTAGCCCTACATCCGGTCAAACATCAGAGGAGTACATCCTCAAGTTTTTGTATTCAACGTACATCCATGCCATGATTTTATAGTTTGTGATACGCATTCATTTAATTAAGTAAACTTGTAATATATAACAATGTTATGTATTAAGTTGACAACGAAATCGCGTAATAATTAATGTATTTTGTATTCGTGAATCTACATCTAGGAAACCTGTAAACGCCTCTGTAGTGGATTAGCAGACTTCAGCTCCTCCAGTGACTTACATAATATCCTGCAGGACGTCGAAAGCCACATCTACAAAATAAATAGTCTAAGTACATAAACATTTCTCTATATATGTATAATAGGCTTGAAATTAAAGCATCGCCACAGCTTGGTTCCAGGATCACCATTCTCATGAGTGATCCATATGCTAACCCTATAAAAAGACATTATATCCATTAAGACTACACATTAAAATCAAGGGACATAACTATGACACTATAAAAAGTCAATACATTCATCTAGATTACAAACATTAAAATATAGGGACATAACTCTGACACTAGAACACAATTTCACAATACTTAAACTCCGCTCCACTACGCTAAAAACATGCTTAATCCCCCCTCCCCACATGGAATATCGTGTATCAAAACTGTTCATGTCAGGTCTACTGGGCATGTCTCATTTCCAACATTTAGAACAAGTCTATGAATGAATACAGTACACTTATGTAATATGAAAACAATACTATTACATATAGTTGTGTTTAAAATGAACATGATTCTGTTTAACTGACACAAACATATTCATAATCAAAACAATATTATTAAATATAGTTTTGCCTAACATGAACATGATTCTGTTTAACTGACACAAATACACTCATAAACAAAAAACACATATATAAATATTTTAATGTTAAACACATTAAATGTGCATTATTAGATAGATAACATTAATCTGATCCCTGTCAGTAAAATATATACATATCTGACATAGTCAGGGCACATGTTAATAATCATCAAACTAATGACCCAAAACAAATAGCATACTGTCACACAGTTCTAACACTGAATCTTTTGTATTGGTTATGTATAAAAGGGGGTTGTATCACGAGAAAGCATGCAGTTCTCAGAAAGAAAAAGAGGTAAAAAGAAGATGGGACAAAACATTTCATAAAAACGTATATCTTCCCCAGTACATACTTGATAGATTTTTAGATGCTTGTTGGTTGAATTTTGTGTTTTTATTGTTATTTCTTCTTGTTTATTTGTTTGTTAGTTTTTTATTCTTTTGTTTGTTTGTTTGTTTGTTTGTTTGTTTTTCTTTTTGTTATTTTGACTTGAAATTGATTTCGAAAAGATTATGTTTGTATCTTCGTTTACAGATGGTGCATCGGCGTGGGTAGATGGACAGGTGTCCGACAGGCATTGGGAATGGAGTAACGGACACACAGCAGATCACAGTCTACAACATGATCTAGAAAATTCGGACAACCACAAGTGTGGAATGGTTAGTTTAGGAACACGTTTCAGCAACCACTTATACGGATTAAGCAGATACATGAATCCGACTGACTGCGATGAAAAACATTATCCATTATGTGAAATACCACATGTTTAAACTAGAAAGAAGGAGTAATAAACCATGAAAATATTGGCAATCTGTAAAGTTAATTTTCTAATTTAGTTCGTTTCATAGCCGTTTCCTAATAATCAAGCATTTCACTAAATGTTCCCTGTGTCAGACCAAGATTTGAACTCGATCCAGTTATAACTAACACATCATAAATGACAAAAATGTAATCTTCTTAAATGACTGTACACAATGTTTAATTTCAATGAACATTAGTATAGTTTGTGACCCTTGTGAAAATATATCAAGGATATAAATATTGAAAAGATTGTACAAATCATAGACGAGGAAATATGGCTATAGGTTTTAAACTACTATATCCGGGTCCTTAGTGACCACAAATTGTCTAGTACTAAAATCATCAACTGCATCAGACTGAAGTAAAGACAAGAATGAATAACATCTTTTTAAGAAATACAACTTAGAATTAGATGGCTAAAAGTCATATTGTAGACAGCGTGAGGTCATATTGTAGACAGCGTGTGGTCATATTGTAGACAGCGTGAGGTCACATTGTAGACAGCGTGAGATCACATTGTAGACAGCGTGAGGTCACATTGTAGACAGCGTGAGGTCATATTGTAGACATCGTGAGGTCACATTGTAGACAGCTTGAGGTAAAATTGAAGACAGCGTGAGGTCACATTGTAGAGAGCGTGTGGTCACATTGTAGATAGCGTGAAAACATATTGTAGAGAACGTAAAGTTACATTGTAGACAGCGTGAAGTCATGATGTAGACAGCGTGAAGTCACATTGTAGACAGCGTGAAGTCACATTGTAGACAGTGCGAAGTCATACTGTAGACAGCGCGAAATCATATTGTAGACAGGGTGAGGTCTCATTGTAGATAGCGTGAGGTCACATTGTAGACAGCGTGAAGTCACATTGTAGACAGCGTGAAGTCACATTGTAGACAGCGTAATGTCACATAGTAGACAGCGTGAGGTCACATTGTAGACAGCGCGAAGTCACATTGTAAACAGCGCGAAGTCACATTTTGGGCAGCGTGAAGTCACATTGTAGACAGCGTGAAGTCACATTGTGGACAGCATGAGGTCATATTGTAAACAGCGTAAAGTCACATTGTAGACAGCGTGAAGTCACATTGTAGATAGCGTGAAGTCACATTGTAGACAGCGTTGTCATATTGTAAACGACGTTAAGTCACATTGTAGACAGTGTAAAGTCACATTGTAGATAGCGTGAAGTAACATTGTAGACAACGTGAAGTCACATTGTAGACAGCGTGAGGTCATATTGTAGACAGCGCGAAGTCACATTTTAAACAGCGTAAAGTTATATATTACACAGCGTGAAGTCATATTGTAGATAGCGTGAAGTCATATTGTAGACAGCGTGAAGTTACATTATAGACAGCATGAGCTCATATTGTAAACAGCGTGAAGTCATATTGTAGACAGCACGAAGTCACATTCAAGACAGCGTGAGGTCATATTGTAGACAGAACGAAGTCACATTGAAGACAGCATCAGCTCATATTGTAAACAGCGTGAAGTCATATTGTAGACAGCGTGAAGTCACATTTTAGACAGCGTGAAGTCACATTGTAGACAGTGCGAAGTCATATTGTAGACAGCGCGAAGTCATATTGTAGACAGCGTGAGGTCTCATTGTAGATAGCGTGAGGTCACATTGTAGACAGCGTGAGGTCACATTGTCGACAGCGTGAAGTCACATTGTAGATAGCGTGAAGTAACATTGTAGACAACGTGAAGTCACCTTCTAGATAGCGTGAAGTCATATTGTAGACAGCGTTAAGTCACATTGTAGACAGCGTGAGGTCATATTGTAGACAGCGCGAAGTCACATTTTAAACAGCGTAAAGTTATATATTACACAGCGTGAAGTCATATTGTAGATAGCGTGAAGTCATATTGTAGACAGCGTGAAGTTACATTATAGACAGCATGAGCTCATATTGTAAACAGCGTGAAGTCATATTGTAGACAGCACGAAGTCACATTCAAGACAGCGTGAGGTCATATTGTAGACAGAACGAAGTCACATTGAAGACAGCATCAGCTCATATTGTAAACAGCGTGAAGTCATATTGTAGACAGCGTGAAGTCACATTGTAGATAGCGTGAAGTCACATTGTAGACAGTGCGAAGTCATATTGTAGACAGCGAGAAGTCATATTGTAGACAGCGTGAGGTCTCATTGTAGATAGCGTGAGGTCACATTGTAGACAGCGTGAGGTCACATTGTCGACAGCGTGAAGTCACATTGTAGACAGCGTCAGGTCACATTATAGACAGCGTGAAGTCACATAGTAGACAGCGTGAGGTCACATTGTAGACAGCGCGAAGTCACATTCTAGACAGCGTGTGGTCATATTGTAAACAGCGTGAAGTCACATTGTAGATAGCGTGAAGTCACATTGTAGACAGCGTTGTCATATTGTAAACAGCGTGAAGTCATATTGTAGACGGCGTGAAGTTACATTGTAGATAGCGTGAAGTCACATTGTAGACAGCATGAGCTCATATTGTAGACAGCGCCAAGTCATATTGTAGACAGCGTGAGGTCTCATTGTAGATAGCGTGATGTCACATTGTAAACAGCGTCAGGTCACATTGTAGACAGTGTGAGGTCACATTGTAGACAGCGTGAAGTCACATTGTAGACAACGTGAGGTCACATTGTAGACAGGGTGAGGTCACATTTTAGATAGCGTGAAGTTACATTGTAGATAGCGTGAAATCATATTGTAGACAGCGTAAAGTCACATTGAAGACAACATGAAGTCACATTGTAGACAGCGTGAGGTTACATTGTAGACAGCATGAGCTCATATTTATAACAGCGTGAAGTCATATTGTAGACAGCGTGAGGTCACATTGTAGACAGCGCGAAGTAACATTGTTGACAGCGTGGGGTCACATTGTAGACAGCGTGAAGTCACATTGTAGACAGCGTCAGGTCACATTATAGACAGCGTTGTCATATTGTAAACAGCGTAGTCATATTGTAAACAGCATTAAGTCATATTGTAGACAGCGTGAGGTCACATTGTAGACAGCGCAAAGTCACATTGTAGATAGCGTGAAGTCACATTGTAGACAGGGTGAGGTCACATTGTAGACAGCGCGAAGTTACATTGTAGACAGCGTGAGGTCACATTGTAGATAGCGTGAAGTCACATTGTAGACAGCGTTGTCATATTGTTAGCAGCGTTAAGTTACATTGTAGACAGCGTGAAGTCACATTGTAGACAGCATGAGCTCATATTGTAGACAGCGCGAAGTCATATTGTAGACAGCGTGAGGTCTCATTGTAGATAGCGTGAGGTCACATCATAGACAGCGTGAGGTCACATTGTAGACAGCGTGAGGTCACATTGTAAACAGCGTGAAGTCACATTGTAGACAGCATGAGGTTACATTGTAGATAGCGTGAAGAAACATTGTAGACAGGGTGAGGTCACATTGTAGACAACGTGAAGTCACATTGTAGACAGGGTGAGGTCACATTGTAGACAGCGCGAAGTCACATTGTAGACAGCGTGAGGTCACATTGTAGATAGCGTGAAGTCACATTGTAGACAGCGTTGACAGCGTGAAGTCATATTGTCACATTGTAGACAGCGTGAAGTCAAGTAGACAGCAGTCACATTGTAGACAGCGTGAAGTCACATTGTAGACAGCGTGAAGTCACATTGTAGATAGCGTGAAGTCACACTGTAGACAGCGCGAAGTCACATTGTAGATAGCGTGAAGAAACATTGTAGACAGGGTGAGGTCACATTGTAGACAGCGTGAAGTCACATTGTAGACAGGGTGAGGTCACATTGTAGACAGCGCGAAGTCACATTGTAGACAGCCTGAAGTCACATTGTAGACAGCGCGAAGTAATATTGTTGACAGCATGAGCTCATATTTTAAACAGCGTGGAGTCACATTGTAGACAGCGCGAAGTAATATTGTTGACAGCATGAGCTCATATTGTAAACAGCGTGGAGTCATATTGTAGACGGCGTGAAGTTACATTGTAGATAGCGTGAAGTCACATTGTAGACAGCATGAGCTCATATTGTAGACAGCGCCAAGTCATATTGTAGACAGCGTGAGGTCTCATTGTAGATAGCGTGATGTCACATTGTAGACAGCGTCAGGTCACATTGTAGACAGTGTGAGGTCACATTGTAGACAGCGTGAAGTCACATTGTAGACAACGTGAGGTCACATTGTAGACAGCGCAAAGTCACATTGTAGATAGCGTGAAGTCACATTGTAGACAGGGTGAGGTCACATTTTAGATAGCGTGAAGTTACATTGTAGATAGCGTGAAATCATATTGTAGACAGCGTAAAGTCACATTGAAGACAGCATGAAGTCACATTGTAGACAGCGTGAAGTTACATTGTAGACAGCATGAGCTCATATTTTAAACAGCGTGAAGTCATATTGTAGACAGCGTGAGGTCACATTGTAGACAGCGCGAAGTAACATTGTTGACACCGTGGGGTCACATTGTAGACAGCGTGAAGTCACATTGTAGACAGCGTCAGGTCACATTATAGACAGCGTTGTCATATTGTAAACAGCGTAGTCATATTGTAAACAGCATTAAGTCATATTGTAGACAGCGTGAGGTCACATTGTAGACAGCGCAAAGCCACATTGTAGATAGCGTGAAGTCACATTGTAGACAGGGTGAGATCACATTGTAGACAGCGCGAAGTTACATTGTAGACAGCGTGAGGTCACATTGTAGATAGCGTGAAGTCACATTGTAGACAGCGTTGTCATATTGTTAGCATATTGTTACAGTTACATTGTAGACAGCAGCGTGAAGTCATATTGTAGACAGCATGAGTCATATTGTAGACAGCGTGAAGTCACATTGTAGACAGCGTGAGGTCACATTGTAGATAGCGTGAGGTCACATCATAGACAGCGTGAGGTCACATTGTAGACAGCGTGAGGTCACATTGTAGATAGCGTGAAGTCACATTGTAGACAGCGTGAGAGATCACATTGTAGACAGCGCGAAGTTACATTGTAGACAGCGTGAGGTCACATTGTAGATAGCGTGAAGCGTGAGGTCACATTAGACAGCGCGAAGTAGACAGCGTGAGTCACATTGTAGACAGCGTGAAGTCACATTGTAGACAGAGTGAGGTCACATTGTAGACAGCGTGAAGTCATATTGTAGACATCGCGAAGTCACATTGTAGACAGCATGAAGTCACATTGTAGACAGCGTGAAGCATTGTAGAGTCATATTGTAGACAGCGTGAGGTCACATTGTAGACAGCGTGAGGTCACATTGTAGTCACATTGAAGACAGTCACATTGTAGACAGCGTGAAGTCACATTGTAGATAGCGTGAAGTCACATTGTAGACATTGTAGACAGCGAAGTGAAGTCACATTGTAGACAGCATGAGGTCACATTATAGACATTGTAGACAGCGTGAAGAAGTAAACAGCATTAACATTGTAGACAGCGTGAGGTCACATTGTCACATTGTAGACAGCGTGAAGTCACATTGTAGACAGAGTGAGGTCACATTGTAGACAGCGCGAAGTCATATTGTAGACAGCGTGAGGTCTCATTGTAGATAGCGTGAAGTCACATTGTAGACAGCATGAGCTCATATTGTAGACAGCGCGAAGTCATATTGTAGACAGCGTGAGGTCTCATTGTAGATAGCGTGAGGTCACATCATAGACAGCGTGAGGTCACATTGTAGACAGCGTGAGGTCACATTGTAAACAGCGTGAAGTCACATTGTAGACAGCATGAGGTTACATTGTAGATAGCGTGAAGAAACATTGTAGACAGGGTGAGGTCACATTGTAGACAGCGTGAAGTCACATTGTAGACAGAGTGAGGTCACATTGTAGACAGCGCGAAGTCACATTGTAGACAGCGTGAGGTCACATTGTAGATAGCGTGAAGTCACATTGTAGACAGCGTTGTCATATTGTTAACAGCGTGAAGTCATATTGTAGACAGCGTGAAGTCACATTGTAGATAGCGTGAAGTCACACTGTAGACAGCGCGAAGTCACATTGTAGATAGCGTGAAGTCACATTGTAGACTGCGCGAAGTCATATTGTAGACAGCGTAAAGTCACATTGTAGATAGCGTGAAGTTAAATTGTAGTCGGCTAGAAATCACATAGTATTATTATGCCACAGCACCTAAAATGCTAAATTATATATCACTGGGTTACTTATTAATACCATCCTTAAATTTATATTGCCGTTGATAGAAATAAGTTAGGTTGAGCTGGAGCTGTAAGAACATAACAAAATAATGTCCTTTCCCTTATAACCTTATTATATTAAATTAATAAACACGTGATAAGAGCCGGAAGAAGTTAATATAATTTGGTAAGAAAGGTAGTGTATCATTACATACATGATGTATATGATAACAGGGTGGGGCAACGAGCTACTGAGGTGGTGTCAAGGGGAACAACTCGTATAGTACTAAAGTAGGTAGAAAAGAAATTATAGTTAAAGCGGCTAGAGGAAACTGTCTAAAACGGACTTTGGAGTTCATTTTTCAACAGAAATTCAAACAAGCACAAACTAATCATGGAATTTTCAAAAATACACTAATCGCTAAAAACATAGAGAGCATTGAAGTTTATAAGAATATATATGTAGAATGTATTTTATGTTATTATGGACAGAATGTCCCTCTCCTGTAAAGTAGGGATGTAGACTTCTACCTCCTTCTTCCGCATTTGTCATTCTCAAAAACTTGCGAACTCACATTTCTTGGGAATATTTCAGACAGGTAATCTTCACAGGAGAGAGTTACACTTTTACCGTTGAATTTAAAAAAAAACTGCGGAACGTGTTGAAGTCACTGTTAGTATCACAATTTACAATGCAAATTATTAGAATTCCAAAGTGAAGAGCCCGTTTATTAATGCTTAAAAATGATTGTAAATGATAATAATAATGCAAAGTTAACGAGTATTACATGTTCTTGAGGATGATCATTTCCAGCAGATTAATACATCTTTGTTTACCGTCATTAAAATTTGATAACACACCATCACTGACCAATAAACTAGACAGATAAAACATATATCAGTGTCAAAGACGATTAATCCTGGTGTAAGTAGACCTTCCGTACACATTGCGTGCTAAACACGAGTGGAGTGCCATTCAGTAGATATTTACTTACATCATGTTTTGATTTAAAAAGTGCTTTGACTTTCAGAACAGTTGGTTACTGAACTTGCAACTTGTGCTGAGGTTATATCTAAAACTGGCGCCAGACTTGGTTTGAGATCGAATCCACTGGCATCTCTTCTTCACTTTTTTATTTAGCAACCTCAGAAATTGCATATCCGCTTCATAATGGTAACACTCAGTCGTCGCTAGTAGTTGTACGTTTATACCCAGAATTTCTTCTAGATCCCCGATGTTAAACAACATCTTCGGAGCAGACGTCCATTTACATCGAAAAAGTACTACTATGTGTATGACGTCATCAAAATATGCCATCTCTCGAGAACCTATCACTTGATAGAATGAAACACAGACCAATGAAAAAACGCGTTGCAAGGAAATTAAATGATCAAACTATGCTCCAACGATCACTTTGATGGAAATAGAGCTAAATCAACTCAGTGTGGAACCAAAATACTTTAGAGTCTTGACATCAATGTCAATTCCTAGAAGAGTGAATCTTTTGCGTCGTGCCACGTGTTCATTATTTGGGATATATTTCATTTTGTACTAATTTCAATGTATTTAAAGAGTGGATATATTGGGTTTGTCTTTTACAGAGTTGCTTTTGTTTGTTAGTAAGATTTATAACATACACACGGGAACTAACTATGTACTACCTGAGGTGACCTGTCTATTATAACAGGCAACAGAGATACTCCCCAGGCACTTAAGATTTACTCTTAATCATATTGATGATGTGTTCTCTTCAAATAACAATAACCTATTGTTACAGTGATCAAATCTCCTGGAGAAAGTTTCACTTTTAGATTGATTGATTGATGATGTCTAGTTTTTAAATATATGAAATACATTAACTCTATCGTTAATATTCAACTTTGAAACTAAGGACATGGCAGACTCCTCGATATTTTCCGACAGTGAACACAACATTGGCAGTTTTTTTTTTTTTTATATAAAACTGGGTGATAAGCGTAAGGATTTCAAGTTCCCTATTATGAATTTCCCATTTCTGGAGAGGATCATCAGTACATTCCCAATCTCTGGTGTTACAATGTCGCAATTGATTGGGCTTGTTCTCAATCACGATTTTTGTGCAAGATGTCGACAACTGGCAGACTAACTCACAACACATGGTTTCGAGAGAAACAGGTCGATGAAAATAATAGGGAAGCTAATTTGAGACCGGTCATTCGTACGGCTGTATCCCCGAACGCATACATTTTAAAAACATGTCTTGGGTGATATGTTTACACAGTGATTATAGTCTGTTTCCTTGTGTAGGTAGTTATATTTACCTGTACAAGTTACCTGTATTTACCTGTGAGTGTACAGGCATCCTGATTTTAGGGTGGGAAATTACAGATGAGGACATATAGTGTATAATAGACTTATTTAAAGTAAAAAAAAAAAAGAAGAAATTACAATTGTATGGATTATATATATAAACTTTAAACAAATTATTTAAGAAATGTTCAATTTACAAGATGAAGGATATAAATTGTGTACAATTTTGTTTTAATATTTTTTAATTTATGCACAATTATGCATGCATTCAATTTCATTTATTCAAATCACAATAACTGCTTGATATGATTATATGGGAGACCATGCAAGCATCGTAGCCAAGATCATGAACTGCATCACTGACCGCTGCCAGAAAGAAATCAGACCAATCCCTACCATCTACAGTGAGGAACTCTGCAAACTGCGTGACAACGAATGGGATGAAGAGACAAGAACCGTTGTAGAGAAGATACCCACCTTCAACTCCAAGAAGTCACAGCTGTACAGAGCCAGACGCAAGCTTACACCAAAGCTACCAAACACTACCCAGGACATTGATCTCGAGGGAAGATGGACGGAAACCAACACTGGAGAGCGCTTCCTACACATTGACGATGGTGACCAGAACAGAATCCTTGTCTTCGCCACATCAGAGGACTTGGCTGAGCTCGCCACCGCCGACCGCATCTACTGTGATGGTACTTTCTACACGTGTCACAACATCTTTCATCAGATCTACACGATACACATTGAGATAGATGGATCCATGTACCCAGTTGTCTACGCTCTTCTACCCGGGAAAAGTCAGCACATCTACACAAGATTCTTCACACTACTCAAGACATTCATGGCAGACAACCACCTACCCATGTCGCCCGACACAGTATTCGTTGACTTTGAGACAGCTGTCCACAACGCAATCCGCACCGTCTTCCCAGGGACCGATATCAAGGGCTGCTTCTTCCACTACACCCAATGCGTCTGGAGAAAGGCACTGATGACTGGACTACAGCTTCCATACCGGGACAACGAAGACATCAGGAGACTGGTTCGCCGTGCAGCAGTCCTACCTCTGGTACCTGAGCAGCAAGTTGAGGATGTCTGGTTTCACGCACTACAGGACATTGAGTACGCCGACCTACCAGCTGACGTGACACCATTCACGGACTATGTTGTTGACCAATGGGTGGATGGAGACCGACCAGTTTGGAACCACTACGACAACGATGGACCACGTACCACCAACCACCTAGAAGCCTGGCACGGGAAGCTGAAGAAGATTGTGCAACACGCCCATCCAAACATCTTCGAGATCATCCAGACATTCAAAGACATTCAGGCTACCAACGAAATTGCAAGACTCCAACGACGCGCCGGTGGAACCAGACGACCCCGACCCAAGAGGTACAGAAACATTGACACCCGCCTTGCCCTGCTGAAACAGAGACTGGAGAGCAACACCATAGACATCATTGCGTACGCTGATGCAGCATCTGAGCTTCTTCACTTGGGTTGAAATGTCTTGCCTAGACTTGCTCTGAGCAAAACGAATGACTTTGTACGTTGTGTCATTATTGCAGATATTTATGTCAGTGCTATATATTCATCATTGAATTAGTGTTATCACTTATCAGTCTTTAGTGTCTCGTATATGCCGTTAGTGCTGTAACATCAATCAGTTTCTAATAGTGTGACATACTGTATATAATTACTTAGATATCGATATTTACCTGCTGTGCACTTTATCCTTTAATAGTTAGCATACACGAAATAGGATCGTATTGACAACTGACGATTGATTAAAGAGGAGTCAATAAGTATGCATGGAGTAACTGATATTGAGAGAAGCATATTTGTTACTGGATAGTGGAAACTGTAATGGAGTACAAAATGATGTGTATGTCCTGTGGAAGAAACAATAATGGAGAGTGAATAGATGTAAACAGAACACAGAATAAATTGTATATAACTAGGTACAGTGTGCGCTGTTTTGTTACGTATGTACATGTATTGCATGCTACGAAGATGCTGAGGGATTGGGATGGCTGCAGGGTGGTGATCTGACTGTATATAAATTGTACAATAGAACTGATTCTGTCGGGCTTTTTATAGGAATATATGCATATTTTATGTCAGATTAACATTGTCGTAAGCACTAGATAACTATCTTCTATGCGATGAACCAGACAGAATTTGTAAAGTAATATGGAAAGGACTAAATTAACAAGTTAGGGAGACGTGGCTTGTTATAATCAGACAAAAGTCTACTCGAAAGATAGACATCGATTTAGGAGGATTAGCACGTGAATCAATGCGTATTATACGTAATCGTCAATGCGTTGTTAAAATCATTACGAGCTGCATAGCTTGTTGCAATATTACATACCTTGTTAAAAATTAGTGTGTAACCGATAGTGCAGAAGATTTTGTATTTAAAAAAAAACTTTTGAACACGTCAGACACTGTTAATAAGTCTGGTGTTTAAATGCCTTTATTACTATCTCGTTTTATGTTAATTAGTGATATTATGATAATAATTAGCTATTGAAAATGCTTGTTGCGTAAACGAACACATTATTAATCTAGAAATAGCTAAAAAAAATATGTAGTTTAGTTCGGCCAAGATTATGATAAGAAAATTAACAAGCAGCAGTAAACATTAGCAAACAACAGCAAACATCAGCTAAACAGCGGCAAAATAGTAGCAAACCAACAGCGAAAACAACAGCAAAAAACAGCAAAACAACAGCAAACATCAGCTAAACAGCGGCAAAATAGTAGCAAACCAACAGCGAAAACAACAGCAAACAACAGCAAAACAACAGCAAACATCAGCTAAACAGCATATAGCAAACCAACAGCGAAAACAACAGCAAAAAAAACAACAAATCAGCAAAACAGCAGCAAAAACAGAAAGTAACAAAAAACAGCAGCAAATAACAGCAAACAGCAACTAAACCGCGGGAAACAGCAACAAAAACAACAATCAGCGGGCAAACAGCAGCAAACAGCAGTAACAAAACAGCAGCAAATAACAGCAAACAACAGCTAAACAGCGGGAAAATAGCAGAAAACGGCAGTAACAAAACAACAACAGACAGCAAAAAGCAACAAATAAACAGGAAATTACAGCAGCAAAATAACAGCAGGCGGCACCAAACAACAGCAAATAGCAGCAGAAAACAGTAATCAGCAGCAAACAGCAGAAAAACAGCAGCAAACAGTAGCGAAATAGCAGCAAATAACAGCAAACAGCAATAAAAATCAGCAAATCAACAGGATATTACAGCAGCAAAAAACAGCAAACAACAGCAAACAGCGGCTAAACAGTGGCAAAATAACAGCAAACAACAGCAACAACCCGCAGCAAACAGCAGCAAACAACAGCAAACAACAGCAGTTATCATTACATATTTTGAAAACAAAAATAATAAAAATGTAATTGTGTAAATGAAAAATGTAAATTTAACAAATAGAAAATGTGATAATTTAATGTAATGTAATAAGATTATGTACTTGTCTAGTTATATTTCATGATAAAATAAATGAACAATTTATATTCTTGTATGCAGAATACCAATAATACACGACATACAAGTCATATTCCGTTGTAAAAAAAAAGAAGTAAACATTGCACGATACAGACAACTTGATGATGTCATCAAAACCAACCTGTTAGTTATATTAATAATTAGTATACTTTGTATTGAGCAATAATTCATATCACCGGGTATTGATCAACTCAATTATACCTGGTCGGCGTACATATATCATGTACACGGATATTTAGTTTCAGTTAGATTTAACCGAATCCATAATTATAATAACGACAATAATCAACGATATAGACACAATTCTCATCTAAATGTAATTATATGAAGTCGTGCATTACGATGTCACACACGATAAAATACAGATAAACTAAGTAAATCTTAATTCTGTTTACTTGTTCTTGAACTCATGCTTTTCCCAAGTATTAAAGAAAAATCAAAGTACTGAAAGTCCTGAGAGGCTAAACGTATTGAAAAATGTTCACAAATAACCGCTAAGCTATATTACTTTCCCCATACTCCTTCACTTGCGAATGCAAAAATTACTAAAATAAGAGAACCAGAGACTATTTTTTTTTTAATTTTAAGCGATTTTATATCTTCTTTAATTCTTATTTCAAATTTGACGACAATAATGTGAATAAATCAAAATAGGTAAAAAAAAATAACAAAATACACACAACCATATATTTATCGCCAACAAGCCAAATGATAAATAGCTCTATGATGAAGTTGACTAAATAAAACCTTTGAAATACCCAAGATGTTGCAATTACTATCCTATCAATATGAGGATTTAAACAAATCGAAAAGACTTTATACCTACTTCTTTATTTTGAATGTATTGCAAAGTAATAGTCCTTGCTTATTACAATAATATTTGTAGTTGAGGAAAGTAGATAAGGTATACACAGCATTTCTAATAGATAAAAGTGTAAGTAATTACATTAAATGTATTTACATGCCTATCTTCCTTGAAGTATCATTGTTAGACTTTTCTGGCAGTAATTATGTCTATAAAGGCATAGTTCTATGAGATTAAACCAGACTTCCATATATATACAAAATATACAATATTTTCACTAAAGCTACTACTATTTCTGATCTCCAATGCATTAGATAATGTCACCATGACACGCTAAACGAATAAATATGTTATGGAAATATTTCGTTCTAGTTAATTGATAATTATAAACATGAAAATTTTGGGTTTTTTTATACGCGCTTTGTTTGAAGGAATATTTTCATTTCAACGAACTTTGATACACATTGACAAATACTGAGAAATCAGCACAATCGACCTTCATCAAATAAAACTTAAAGACAAAAATATAAGTTATAACAAAGTCAACATCATGATCAGTGCAGTATTAAAAATATTTCATTCATAAATCATGAGCACCAAATGTACCTTGCCTACGAAGCGCAAACTTTTTATCTTCAAAAACTTGAAAAAGTGTCATAGCGGTGGATGTGAAAATTCTGAAAAAGTGTCATATCGGCGGGTGTGCGCGTAGGACAAACAGTCAAATTTTAAGACGTCTAATGAGGTAAAGTGATGTTATATATTAAGACGATCTTCCCACAACGACAAGGATTAAATCAAAATTGATGTTTTGTTTGTAAGTTTTGTTTGTTTCTAAGTCCTATTAGTTGATAATTCAAACCAAGCCCAGACTAGCTTCTTACCATGGCGCCAACTCGCATGTACAGTGTTCTGTACGCTTACGTCATGTCGAGAATTCCGTAAAATATATTGTTCAAAATTTATCAATAGTTCAACCACACTGTGCTTCTTTTTTGAAATATATAGTAATCGTATTGTTATTAAAATAATAAACTAATTTTGGATGCTTTTAAAATAGCGATTTGAAAAATCGCGGCATTATTTACACAGAAAATTGCCGCTAAAGGGCTTTAACTCTTTTCGATATTTCAGCCAATGAGAAGGCCAGGATCGGTAAATTTTGTCTGAAAGGCCGTCACAATAGGTTATGCGTACTGTGTACGTTTAGCCTAAAAAGTTATATACAAACCGAAGGTATTTAACAGGATGTATTATACCAATTGTACTGTCTGTTACATTATGAAATACATTCTGGTGTGAATACCTTTACAACAGTGGAATAAAAGAAAACCATAGGGACGTGTAAACAAACCTTGGTGCATACACTTTGCTAATTGCTAGATTGATTTAAAACTCATTATGATATCATAATCAATGCGTTAAGCGACCCCTTACTTGCAAATATAGAAACAGACATATGTGTATATAAACATACACGTCATTGTTTGAAGTTTTGCAATAGAGTGATCCACAAGGTAGGATACAGATAAAGTATAAATGAAAATTTTGTTTAAATTATGCATTTTCTAAGTATCATGACCAAAAAGGAGAAGTTTGATACCAACCGAAAGTATTTAATAGGATGTATTATACTGATAAATAGCACTACCTGTACAAATTAAAGCAGCTTTTCTGTGTAATTTTTCAGAAAATTATGAACGGTGAAACATTTGACTTGTACAAGAAGACAACATAATGAATATTCAATGTGTGGATTGTGGAACACTTACCCACCTTGAGATGTATGCCAAAAGATATAGGTAAGTAATTAATTTTACCAAATTATCATCATGAAATAGAACACAGAGGAACGAATATCAATAATGAAAATTGCTGTTAAATTAATTTTTAAAGTCTAATGGATTAACTTTCATTATTTTATCCTATTGAGCCAAAACACAAAAAACGGAGTGTCAATAAACCGTGAAGCGTATCCAGTGTTTTGTGTTATGGATCAATAAGCATAATCATTTTATCACAGACTGTAATGTGTTTTTTAATTCATAATTTACTTTTCCTTGATGATTCTTTGCAACGACATATTGGCTAATCAGACGATTCCTTGTAAAATGACGTTGACTTTTTTTGTAATTAATTAAGTTTAATAGATCAACGGAA